CTATTTACTTTGCTGACTTTTTGGTTACTCAGTTGTAAGAAGGAATGGTTTTCATGGTGCAACAGAGAACTTCACCGAGCTTGTCTAGTGCCTTTAATGAGAATAAGACTGTTGAACAGTAAGTAACTCTCTTCTAGAAAAGAAATTTGGTTTCTAGTTTTGCAGGTTTTCTCAGCAAACTTATGCTTACATATGTCTAGTGAACCTTCTGTCAACCTTGAACCGGGAGTTACTTCTCCATTACTAAAAACGGCGGAAGAAGACTCTATGGAACCAGAAGATACTTTTTCAAGTGAAAATGGTCAAACTTCACCCAACACTATCAATCAAGAGGATACTACTAAAGGTGACCCTGGTTGAAAAGAGAGCTTCTCAATTGATAATGTTTTGAACTATTTTGTTGTATTTTGCACAACTCTTATTTCTTTCATTTGCCATCTTCAAGATATGGAAAACATGCCTGGAGAAGATTCATTCTCAGAACATTTGGAGTTTGCACACGGAAAAGCTGCAAACAGATACCGTTCAGCTCTTGACATGACGCTTAAGGTAAAGCAGTCACCAACAGAAAATTGACTCTCCTCTACTGATTCAGCTCATTCTTTGTTTTCATAGATTTTCTCTTCACTTCCTTACTTGCTTTGACAAATTGTGCTACTGCAGGCCCTCTTGAACATTAAGGCTCTTCAAAAGGATTTGGTGCATAATCGGCAACCATTTCATGGCAACTTGGAAGAACAAGTTCCTTATGCACTGCAAGATTTCTTTTCTGCTTTTGTGTCGGAACAGATAACAGAAGAGGGACTCTACAGTTACCTACTAAGCAACATACTTGCTTCGTTAGAAGAAATTCATTCCATGGTATGTGCTAAGCATATTATTATTATTTTAGTGGATATGATTATTATTATTCATTCAGTTTTTTACACCCTTTTCAGTCAAGTGATGCTGCTGGGGTAGTCGTCGCGATCCTTGAGTTTTGTCATTTCTGGAAAAGTCCAGAAAGAGAAAGCTTGGTTACTCGCCTTTTTACGTTGGAGGAATATGAAAGAATGAGTTGTAGAAAATGCAGAAGGAAGCGAAATTATCCAGAGCAAAGTTCGTATGGAATTGTCATGGCTGCAGATTCAATTGTAGACCTGAAGGTATGTTTCATTTATTTCCCTCTTTGTCTTTCCTACAAAAGCTCGTAATATTTCTTTAAATTTGATTAGTGGTTTATATATACATGCAGTGTGCTTTGGGGAATATAAAGTTTGAGGACGTCCTTAAAGTGATCCTCATGGAAGATGAAATGATGTGTGATGTTAAAACAGGAGGCTGTGGAACCACGAACTTTGTTCACCACACTATAAGTAGATGCCCGCCTATCTTCACAATTGGTAAGTTTTGACCATGATTGCGATTTTATCTACCCATTTCATTTATTTCGACATGATAAAACATTGTGGAACCACGAACTTTGTTCACAACACTAGCTAATGTTTTTTTTTGGGTTTGCAATTTTAGTGTTGGAATGGGAGAAGAACGAAACTGAAAAAGAAATATCTGAAACAACAAATGCTTTGCACTGGGAGATAGATATCAGCATGTTATACGAAGGCTTAGAACCAAACACTAACTACCGGCTTGTGTCAATGGTAAAATCTGAAACATTGTGACAAATGTTTTCTGTATTTCTCTATTACAGTCTCAGAATATGGAAATGCAGATTGGATGTGTTGAAGAAGGAGAATATATCTGCATGGCCTATAAAAAAAACCGGTGGGTCAGTCTCAGACATGAAACTTTAGCAGAAGAGGTAAGAAGAAACAACTCCTTTGTCTTTTCGTGACCTGAATTGTGAACTTTGTTGGTCAGACATTTATTGGTAAGTGTGGTGATGCCATAGGTTGTTGGTAACTGGAAGGGTGTGGTCAGATTCTGTGGAGAAAGGAAAGTTCGGCCAGAGATTCTGTTTTATGAAGCTACTCGATCCATGGCCTAACAACTTAACAAGTTGTATCAAACAGTATGTGACGTAGCATTGATGTATAAAACAGTGTCATGCTCCAGTTTAAAAGAAGTTGTGTTCATTATGTGAATAGAATTGTTGAAATTACAAAGCAGTGAAGTTGTTAAGTAGAGCGTGAATAAATAGAGAGAAAGTCTGGGCTGGAAAAAACAAAAAACGGTAACCACCAAAGCACTATAAAGTGTTTTGACTTAGACTCAAGCACTTTAGTATATACATCAATCCCTTTCCTTTACCATTGAAAAACGTTTTATTAGTCTTCAGATCTCTGCATAGCCTGAAATTCAAGCAGGTGGAATTGAGAACACACATAAGAAAAGAAAACATAAACACATATGCACTCGAAGGAGATTACTAGTTCAAAAAATGGCATTTGGGGTCGCATTTTCTGTGTTACGAGAGAACAGAAGTTGTATTTAACAACATTTCCCTTCAGTCTCATAACATTAGAAGAAAAAAGTACTATATATCTACTGCATGATATTGCTGATGACCATTTCTTCATAGCTATTGAAAGATTCAAACTTTATTTGCATAATCCTCCTTCTTGGCCAATTCACTACTGGTGGTAAACTAAACTCTGCACAAGATAGAAACATATTCAGATTAAAAATGTCTCATAGGAACTTTTTAATGAACTTTAAAGCTTCTCTTTAACATCAGTGTACAGTTTCAACATTCTATTCCATTATACTTAATCACAGTTATATTTCTTATCAACTAGTTCACAGCTAAACAAATCATCATGTAGAATTATCATTAACATTAAACAAATATTGCAATCAATTTCACAAACATATATAACAAGCAATCAGACGTTTAAACCAGACATAAACTACAAGGTCAAACCGAGATATAGGGCTCTATTCTCATATTTATGTAAGTAATGAATATGATTAAACCGGGTTAAGTCAAAGTCAACATCAACGTTTGACTTAACATAAAATTAAAACGGTTTGATATAAATTGGATCTAAACCAAGCCAATCAACTGATGTTACACTGAAAAATCAATCCGGTTTTTCTGTAAATTAAACTAAAATTGTATTAAACCAATTGGTACTTTATTTTTACAACCAAAACTAAATAAAATTGTTTAACCCAAAACTAAAACAGTTTAATATAATGGATTTAAACCAAACCAAATCGATGTTAGGGCGGCAATTAAATTGGAATTAGATTAAACTGGAAAATAAATCCGGTTTTCAACTGGATTAAACCAATCGGTATTTTTGTTTAACTAATGTTGAAAACCAGACTTAACCGAATTAGTCAACATTCATTTTGTTGAAAACCATTATTCCTCCGTTGACATTTTACCTTTTCACTTTTCAGTCTAAAACATTTTTTGAGGAAACATTTTGAAAATCTCTATAAAATACCCGTTATTGGCCAAATCGAAATTTTTTCTGATTTGGTTCATCATGGTGGTTTTAGACCCTACACGGCCAAGCTGTCTTTAGAATTTTTTTTGGAATCATCACTGATTAAGGTCAAGCAAAAGAAACTCAATGTTTTGGATGAAAACGTTTTGTAAATAAAAAATAGGCAAAAAAGCATCATGTTCATGTTGGTTGTTACTTGTTCTAGAGCCATTCACAGCCTCTAGAAGGCTGCACAGTAAGCTAGTAAGCTAGTTCAATACCTCATCAAAGGTCAGTCACACCACCTGATAATATTGCAATAACATGGAGTCAGTAATATAATCAGACGATATTCATCTTTCAGTAGTAAGATAACAATTTCACTCAACACAACAAATTATAAGAGGCATACAACAACCACTCATAATGAGCAATCAACCAACCTGAGCAGGAATTTGCTTGGAATTTTTATTTTCTCCAAGAGAATCACTCTTTCAAACCTGCAAAATTGAACAGCTATAATTTAGACTGAGTATCCGGCAATGTTGAAACACAGCATATGTCTAGAAGCACCAAAAAAGGTTTAAGGATATATCTAATTTTGGTTTGTAACAACTATACTATCTTTCTTCTTTCATGCTTACTAATTATATAATGCGACCAGATTATAAGTTTGAAGTTACCATGTCTTTACCAGAGAGAGAGAGAGAGAGCGCAGAAGAAAGCTTACTCCTGTTTTTCTCACGTGTGCTTAAAAACCAGCTGATCTTTTTCCTGCTCCAAAATCCATTACAACAGTCATGTTTGATCTTCCAGTTTCATCACACTTTTCTGAATGAAAAATTAAACATATGAATCTATTAATCTTGAGCAAAATCAGATATATATAATCAGCTGAGATAAATACTATAAAGATTTTCACTTGGTACAACGAAGTACAATGATTGACCACTTCTTGATCAATCAACCAATCTGACAAAAAATATCCTGATCAATCTCTGTTACCCTGCAAATTTATATAACAATCATTAGAAATAACCATTGATGTATTCAATAATATACAGTTTAGGATTAAACTTACATTTAATACTCTACAAAGCGATACTAAAAAAAAATATTACCTCATTAATTTATTCCATGCACCCATTTCTGAATTATGAGTTTTAAAACAGAGCCGAGGCATTTGAATCTGTAACACGGGACTGGTTTAAGTTACCTCATTCATGCACTGCCACCACCAATCCGTTTCTGATGTGCTACTAATGACCCTTTTGAATATGTACGGAAAGCAGTATTAGATTAGCATAATTAAACAAAAAACGTAGACATGATAAAAGCAAATCGTATATCTCAACCTATTCAACTTCAAGACAAAATGAGAATCTGGAAAATAATAAAAAAACTAAACCAGAAAACATAGAAGGAAAAAAAAACAAAACCTGAAATCGGTCGAATAATTATAACCACATAAATTTTTTTAAAAAAAAACAAGACTAAACATGAAACAATAGAGATGATGAAACCCACAAAAAGGAAAGTAAAGATATTCACTTAATTTATCTACTGAATCAATTTTAAAAGGGAGATTCCAGTCCAGATTCATGTACAAAGAAAGACTAGATTCATGTAGTGAAATATTTACTCTAGATAAGGTTTGAAGAAAAATCCCACAATGAACTTGAAAGGATAGAAACCTGGATCAACAAAGATTGTGCAGAATCAAATACTGAATACATGTTCGGTAGTAAAGGAAGAATTTCTAAACGAATCAGGGTTCTGAAACCTTAATCCAAGAAAAAAGAATATGGAAGACTCAAAGAGTTAATCCAAAGGCATCTCCTAATTATTTCTACCACAAAGCTTCTTCCTACAAGTATGATTCACAACTCAAGCACAGAAACGTAAAAGAGCACATGACCAAATCTAAGTATAAAAATGTTAAACTGTAGATTAAGTATTGGAAGACTCAGAAACAAATCTAACCTTTTCCATTTGCTTTCGTCCAACAGTAGCCAATTCACATGCCAAAATTCAAGAGATCAACACGGAGACAAGGGATGAAAATTAGTACAAGAAAAAGTTTCTATCTTTATGATGCAACAGCTGTATACTAAATTAGTCTACGAAAGTACTAATCTAGACTAAGAACCCAATATATAACGACCATAAAAATGCACACAACAACAACAACAACAACACACACACACAATTTTTTTTTAAAAAAAAACATGACGAATCATGAAACAATAAAGATGAAACCCACAAAACAATATTAGTAATAGCTAGGAAAGTAAACAAGATTGAAAAAGATAATCACTTAAGCAATTAAAAAGGGGAAATTCCAGATTCATGTACAAAGAGAAACTGGATTCACGTAATGAGATATGGAAGACTCAAAGAGTAACTGCAAAGGCATCTCCTAATTATATTTACCACAAAGATTCTTCCTACAATTATGATTCAAAACTAAAGCACATAAACGTTAAAGAGCCAATAACCAAATCCAAGTATAAAAATGTTAAACTGTAGAATAAGTATTGGCAGACTCAGCACCAAATCTAACCTTTTCCCATTTGCGTTGGTCCATATGCAATGTCCAACAGTAGCCTGTTCACATGTCAAAATCCAAGAGATCATCAACACTGAGACAAGGGATGAAAATTAGTTGAGTCCACAGTTAATTAGTACAAGAACAAGTTTTTCTCTTTGTGATCTTGTATGATAAATTAGTCTACCAAAATACTAATCGAGACTAAGAACCCTATATATCACGACCATAAGGATGCAAAACACAAAACAAGTATTGCCTTTAACTGTAGAATAAGTATTCATACTCAGCACCAAAACTAACCTTTTCCATATGCTATGGTCCAACAGTAGCATGTTCGCACTGAGACAAGGGATGGAAATTAGTTGACTTAGACATTTACTTAGTACAAGAAAAAATTTCTCTCTTTGTGATGCAACACACGACAACAGCACACACATGTATGGTGAAAAGGCTTAACTTCTTAACATCATAGTCATAAATCTAGACTAAAAACCCTATATATCACGATCACAAAGATGCAGAACACACGACAACAACACACACATACACATGTTTTGTGAAAAGGCTTAACTTTTTAACATTATAGTCATAAATCAAGTTACAGAATCAATATAAATCTAAGTAAACTATGATCAGCAATGGATCTGTATGTTGAATATATCTTAACCCGTATTCTTTTTGTAACACCCAAATATACGATCAAACATAAAGAAATATGTTCAAAATCTGATAAGAATTCGACATTAAGGATAAAAACAGATACGTTGAACATATCATATCTTCGTTCAACTTCAAGCTAAAGACACTTGATGGTTTTTGGTTGAAAACGTTTTGTAAATGAAATAGAGAAAAAAAAGGCATCATGTTCATGTTGGTTGTTCACTTGTTCTAGAGCCATTCACAGCCTCTAAAAGGCTGCACAGTAAGCTAGTAATAATAGCTAAGAGTCTCCAATTTTTCGCTTTGTTTAGATCATTTTCTTTAGTTTCCAGATTATCGAATGTTAAAAGAAGCATACCAATTCTCTCATGTGTATATTGGGAGATTTTAGCTCCATTATCCTTGCAAGGCAAAAAACAAACAAACATTAAAGAGACATCCAGAAATGATTATGCATCTAGAAATACTAGAAATGATTATGTCATGTCCTCCTTTAGAGACCTGTGAAAGTAAATGAAACAGAAGAAAAAAAAGATCGGATGATATCTCAATTTTGGTTTCTACCTTATGTTTACGGTTGACCAGATAGTCCCAATGTTCCGCAAGAGTCAGTAATTTTGTTCAAACTCATCTGTATAGCTTGAAAATCTAACCTATTCAGGGAAAAAGAACACATATGAGTACATTTCAATGACAAACAGGTTCTTATATCTGATCGTAAACCTATTGATCTATCTATGGGTTTAAGAACATAAACATGTGCTTATTTTTAAGCTTCAAGACCAATCACTTGATAACCATTAGAGTTCAATACCTCATCAAAGGTCAGTCACACCACCTGATAATATTGCAATAACATGGAGTCAGTAATATAATCAGACGATATTCATCTTTCGGTAGTAAGATAAGAATTTCACTCAACACAACAAATTATAAGAGGCATACAACAACCACTCATAATGAGCAATCAACCAACCTGTGAAGGAATTTGCTTGGAATTTTTATTTTCTCCAAGAGAATCACTCTTTCAAACCTGAATGAAAAAATAAACATATGAATCTACTAATCTTGAGCAAAATCAGATATATATAATCAGCTGAGATAAATACTATAAAGACTAGGAATCAGGACCCCGCGATGTCGCGGGGGAAAGTACTTCAAAAATCGTTTAAAAAATATCAAACGAAAAATCATAATGAATTGTAACAATTTAAATTTTTTAATAATAAATCAATAAATATTTTACGAAAATTATGATAATAAAAACTTTCACAAGCATTTATTAAGTATATTAGTATTAAAAAACATTAATTTGTAACTAAAAACTATTCTCAACCAAAAGACATCAAATAAACTAAAGGTTACAACGGTTTTGATAAATAAGCCAAAATGTTCATTAGTTCTACTAATAAACCAAATGCTACTATATATGTTAAATTAAACGGTAGCAACAATTCATTTAAATATATTTTAGTAATTAATTTTTTTTATAAATGATAAACTTTAACTGAGAAACGCGACCGTATATATCAAATATATCCAAAGTTGCAATGGTTCATCAAATACACTAAAGATTACAATGTTTCCTAAAACAAAACCAAATGTTGCAACAATTCAATTAAGTAGTAACATTTTAGTAATTTAAAATAAAAAAATTAAAAAAATAATTTATGAAAAGTTACACCGACGGTAGATGATTAAAATATTTTAAAAAAAAAACATTTACATCAGCATACGAATGTAACTACAAATGACTGGTGAATTATTTCATAGTTTACATCAGCATAGCAAAATGTTTAAATGAATGATATAATTAAGGAGGTTATACTACTAAATATATCCATATGTAAACTATGAAATAAATTCAATTTTATATGTAGTTTATTGGTTTACGTAAAAAGAAATTCAATAAAACAACATGACCGTACAAAAATAACTGTAAGAAAAAAAACCATAAATATTTAAACGAAAGGTTACAATAAAAAGACGCAACCGTTCAGATGTGCAAATGGTATTTATTGGAAACGACATAACCGTAAAAAAATAACCGATTAAAACGAAAAGTGCGATAAAAAGACGCAACCAAAATAACCGTAAAAAAATAACCGATTTAAACGAAAGGTTGCGATAAAAAGACGCAACCGTTCAGATGTGCAAATGGTATTTATTAGATTGCTATTATATATAGATTTTCACTTGGTACAACGAAGTACAATGATTGACCACTTCTTGATCAATCAACCAATCTGACAAAAAATATCCTGATCAATCTCTGTTACCCTACAAATTTATATAACAATCATTAGAAATAACCATTGATGTATTCAATAATATACAATTTAGGATCAAACTTACATTTAATACTCTACAAGGCGATACTAAAAAAAATATTACCTCATTAATATATTCCATGTACCCATTTCTGAATTATGAGTTTAAAAACAGGGCCGAGGCATTTGAATCTGTAACACGGGACTGGTTTAAATTACCTCATTCATGCACTACCACCACCAATCTGTTTCCGATGTGCTACTAATGACCCTTTTGAATATGTATGGAAAGCAGTATTAGATTAGCATAATTAAACAAAAAACGTAGACATGATAAAAGCAAATCGTATATCTCAACCTATTCAACTTCAAGACAAAATGAAAATCCGGAAAATAATAAAAAACTGAACCAGAAAACATAGAAGGGAAAAAACAAAACCTGAAATCGGTCAAATAATTATAACCACATAATTTTTTTTTAAAAAAACAAGACTAAACATGAAACAATAGAGATGATGAAACCCACAAAAAGGAAAGTAAAGATATTCACTTAATTTATCTACTGAATCAATTTTAAAAGGGAGATTCCAGTCCAGATTCATGTACAAAGAAAGACTGGATTCATGTAGTGAAATATTTACTCTAGATAAGGTTTGAAGAAAAATCCCACAATGAACTTGAAAGGATAGAAACCTGGATCAACAAAGATTGTGCAGAATCAAATACTGAATACATGTTCGGTAGTAAAGGAAGAATTTCTAAACGAAACAGGATTCTGAAACCTTAATCCAAGAAAAAAGAATATGGAAGACTCAAAGAGTTCATCCAAAGGCATCTCCTAATTATATCTACTACAAAGCTTTTTCCTACAAGTATGATTCACAACTCAAGCACAGAAACGTAAAAGAGCACATGACCAAATCTAAGTATAAAAATGTTAAACTGTAGATTAAGTATTGGAAGACTCAGAAACAAATCTAACCTTTTCCATTTGCTTTCGTCCAACAGTAGCCAATTCACATGCCAAAATTCAAGAGATCAACACGGAGACAAGGGATGAAAATTAGTACAAGAAAAAGTTTCTATCTTTATGATGCAACAGCTGTATACTAAATTAGTCTACGAAAGTACTAATCTAGACTAAGAACCCAATATATAACGACCACAAAAATGCACACAACAACAACAACACACATACACACAATTTTAAAATAAAAATAAAATAAAAAAAAATGACGAATCATGAAACAATAAAGATGAAACCCACAAAACAATATTAGTAATAGCTAGGAAAGTAAACAAGCTTGAAACAGATAATCACTTAAGCAATTGTAGGGTTTGACGAAAAGAAATATGCAATACTCAAAGAGTAACTGCAAAGGCATCTCCTAATTATATCTACCACAAAGATTCTTCCTACAATTATGATTCAAAACTAAAGCACATAAACGATGAAGAGCCAATAACCAAATCCAAGTATAAAAATGTTAAACTGTAGAATAAGTATTGGCAGACTCAGCACCAAATCTAACCTTTTCCCATTTGCTTTGCTCCATATACAAGGTCCAACAGTAGCCTGTTCACATGTCAAAATCCAAGAGATCATCAACACTGAGAGAAGGGATGAAAATTAGTTGAGTCCACATTTAATTAGTGTAAGAAAAAGTTTCTCTCTTTGTGATGCAACAACCTTGTATGATAAATTTGTCTACCAAAATACTAATCGAGACTAAGAACCCTATATATCACGACCATAAGTATGCAAAACACAAAACAAGTATTGCCTTTAACTGTAGAATAAGTATTGGGATACTCAGCACCAAATCTAACCTTTCCCATTTGCTATGGTCCAACAGTAGCCTGTTCACATGCCAAAATCCAAGAGATCATCAACACTGAGACAAGGGATGAAAATTAGTTGACTTAAGACATTTAGTTAGTACAAGAAAAATTTTCTCTCTTTGTGATGCAACACACGACAACAGCACACACATACACACACACATATGTATTCTGAAAAGGCTTAACTTTTTAACATTATATCACGATCGCAACACACGACAACAACACACACATACACATGTCTTGTGAAAAGGCTTAACTTTTTAACATTATAGTCATAAATAAAGTTACAGAATCAATATAAATCTAAGTAAACTATGATCAGCAATGGATCTGTATGTTGAATATATCTTAACCCGTATTCTTTTTGTAACACCCAAATATACGATCAAACATAAAGAAATATGTTCAAAATCTGATAAGAATTCGACATTAAAGATATGAATTGAATCCACCAGATCTCGTGAAATTCAAAACCAAAAATCCATAATCGTGAGATTAGCGATGGAAGAGATAAGAAAAATACTTGCTTGTAGAGAATTAGTGCAGTATCATTGGTCGACGAATCAAAACCTTCGAGAGCGATGTAAGATGCGGCGGCGTAGAACTTCTCCAGGTAAGTGGGACATTGCTCGACCCATAGCCATAGCCATTTCTCTCTCTCTCACTCTCTCTCTGTCTCTCTCTCTGACTTCATCTGCGGATTTGATCGAAGATGGAGAAGCCGAGGAGCGGAGCGGAGATATGAAGAAGAATTGAAAACCCTAATTAGAGAAAATAAAAATTAAAAAGCATTTCATTTATATAACAAAATATACGCGTCCAAACTACGTCGTATTGTAACGGCACTAATAATTTGAAAAACCATTGACATTCCTCTTTCGGTCAAAACGTTGTCGTTTCTACATGGTAATAAACGTTGTCGTTTCTACATGGTAATACTGTAATAGTATCAAAGACTTGTTTTTTTTTTTGTCTATCTTTTGTTTTCTCTAATTATTCACTTGTTTAGGAAGAAAAAAAAGCAAAACAGAGAACTGTGAAGACTTTATCTATTAGACAGTCAAAAACATCTTTGGCTATCAAGTGTCTTTGACTAATCATAGCTTCAAAGAAAGAACCAAAAAAATATATATGTTGAGACGACACTTGATAGAATTGTGAAGACTTATCTATCGCTAGAAGTTTATTTATCATACGTTGAACATATCATATCTTCGTTTCCCACATGGTCTTCATGGTACAACAGAGAACTTCACCGAGCATGATTAGTCTCCTTGATGAGAATAAGACTGTTGAACAGAACAGTTAGTACATCTCCTCTAGCAAAGAAATTTGGTTTCTCATTAGTCTTTTCAAAAGTCTCAAGCGCCTCTAGATTAAAAATAGGTCTTACACATCGATCGACATGTTTTGGTCTAGGTGGGATGATAGTCTAAACCTAACATATGATAAACAAAGCTTCCACTTGAGGATCTGAACAACACAAGTGTTTCCACTCACTGGCCATTAAGTATATTGTGTCAAAATGTAAATGAGTACATCAAAGAAGAGAACTAGAACACAAGTGTTGTCCATTAAAGAGATTGAGCAATTCAAGTGTTACCGGCCAATACATCAAACGAAATGCAAACTGAGCTGTGGTTGGAAACTCTGGTATCTAACTATCTACATTGATCAATGATCATAACAATCAGTCAGGATCCTGAATTGGGCTAAGAAATAACACACGAGTCTTCAGATCCCTTCGCGGAAAACATCTGCTCCCTCTGCATAGTATGCAATTCAAGAAGGTGGAATTGAGACCACACACAAGAAATGAAAAACATAACAAAGTATGCAGTCGTCAAAGGCGCTTACATTTTCAAAAAATAATATCTCAGGTCGAATATGCAGTTTTCGAAAAATGCTGAGAACACCATCCCACTCTCCAATAACCTGGACAACCAAAATACATCACTCAGTCACAGATCGAGTGACTTGCTTTTATTACAAAAATATCCAACCTTTACCTCTTTCTGAGAACGAAAATGTCTGACCCATCTATTGTTTTCATAAGCTACACAGTTGTATCGATCTCCATCCGAGCAAACCTGAATATATATTAACACTGGAGTTGTTTCTGGTAACATAATCTTCAATAGGAAACCCAAATAGAACTGAAACGAACTAGTTACTTGGCCCTTACCATTGAGACAAGATGGTATTTAGTGAATGCACTGTCACCTTCGTATCGGTATATCGCACAAATATCAATCTCAGTCACTAGAACAGAAGTTGTATCGAATATCTCTCCTTCAGTCTCATTCTTCTCCCACTCAAGTGCTAAAAAATACGAGAGAAAAAGACTAAATCTACTGCATTATGTTGCTGATGTCTAATGACCAGTGAACTTCATAGCTTATCATATGCTTACCAATTGTGAAAACAGTTGGAAGTTTATTTATCATACGTTGAACATAGTTTCGTTTCCCACATCCTTCCTTATCACAAGGCATCTTTAAGCCTATCCTTATGATCTGAACGATCTTCTCGAATGTAAGATTCTCGAATAATCCCTGTGAATGATAACCAAATACGTTTCTAACCTCACTTTCATGAAATACTTGTTTGCTTAAAAGATTAAAAGACAAAAAAAATGACTTACCTTGGTTTCTCTGAGTGAATTAGCAGTGATGATCATACCATAAGAACGTTTAACTGGATACTCCAAATCCATCTTGCATCTATTGCAAATCTTTTTCGCCAATTCGTACACTTCAAAGTACGGGTTCCAGGGAGGTAAATTCTCCAAGATGTATACAAACAGTTCAAAGACATTATTTGCTTCCTGAAGAATAGAAAAATATATGAATCTTGAGAAAGAAGTAACTAACACACATAAGACAAAAGGGTTTTAAAGATGAGAGCAGAGCAGAGACCGGAGGTTGACTGAGACTGAGATTGTTGATAAAGGAGAGACGAAGTATGTCTTCTTTAAGAAAAGAGCCTGTGAATCTCTGACGTACTTTGTTCTGTCTTGCAAAAACGCTAATTTGCCACAGAGACTGCAAAAATTCACATTCTTGAAAACTTAAACAAGATCAAGAAAATAGATTCAGGCTTTGTTTTTTTGGGTTTGTTAAAGTTTGCAAAACCTTGAGTATCATGTTAAGTGATGATTCCTCTGCGTCGTGTTCTCTGAACAATAGATAAGCACTTAGCACCAAACAGATGAATTCTCAGAAAACTTATATGGGAAAAAGCATAAGTATACTCGGAGGAGGAGATTTTACTACTTACATATCTAGTTTCTTGTCAATTTCTTCGGCTTTCTCCATGATTTGGAACGAAAGTAAAACCAGGAAAAGAAAACAATGGCGATTTTCTTTCTTGATTTTCTCGAGAAAATTGAAAAAGGAACAGAGAGAAAACAGAGAGAAGAAGACAAAGGGCAAGGATTAAAGGATTTATTGGGTCAAAAGTCGGTTAGTTTGTTCACGTGACTCTCACGTGATATATATATTGAGAATTGAGCGCCAAAATTGCAACTGAGATCTTATGCCCCAGGAAACCCTAAATCATGAATTATGGTATTGTGAACTTCTGTCAAACACTTGGTGGCACAATCCATTTTTTGCAGTAGAACACAAAGTAAGAGAACAAGCATTCCAAATTTTTTTTTAATGAAGCATGCTTTTGAAAAAAATTACTAAAAAGTTAATTCTTCACCAAGTAAAAAATCATATGTGTATTGGACGTATTTAGAAATCCTTGTGAAAATTCTTTTTATTGAATTTTCTTTAGTCTGGAAGATGTATAGATAGTTGGTCACCAGTTTCCTATCATTCGTTAGTTAGGTGACACGAAAAAAAAAAAAAAAAAAATGTTTTTCTCACCAAGCTCTGTTTTGAGTAATTTACACTTTCTCAAATTCGTTTATTATGCTACCAACAATCTTTTTGATGTACAATACATATATTTTTCTTTCTTGATTATTAAACAAACATTTCAACAAAAATTATTGAAATATCTGATAGAAATTATTTATGTTTTAAAGAAAATCCAATGTACTTAACATGAATAACTCATTTTCTGTCTTTTGAAGTCAAATTTTAAGATTTTTCTAACCATTTCTGGATTGACATTAATTATTTTGTTCGTTCATTTGAGGCCATTTATTAGAGTCAAGATTAGAAAGGAGAAAAATTTGTTTCAGGAATCTCTCATGTGTTTCTTCTTTCCAAAGATTAATCTGATTCACCAAATGGTTTGGTTTGCACTATTATCTTCGTCAGTTAATAGACGTATAGTTCCTGCAATCTTTGGATTTGATGTTCCATGTTGCAGCTTTTATGAAATAATGATTCAAACAACACTAGTCATAGAGGCAATAAAAATCCTAATCGTCCCTTTATTCCATTCTTTTCTCTGTTTATGTTCAATAAGAAAGAAAAAAAGACTTTGAACCAGGAAGATAAGAACCAGACATAACCTTGGCTAGGGTTCTTGTCTGGCTTAAGGTTCCAACGTGAATAACATAAAAGCCTGAAACTACATATGTATCCCAGAGTTAAGTATCTCATTTCGATTGTTTAAAAGTATACACTTATGTACAAAGCAAACCAAATTTTGATTGAAAAAGGACTAGCAGTCTTACCTTCTCTTGGAAACAGATATTCTCTTCATCAACTTGAAATTTTTTACTTGGAACATCACATATTCCTACATTCACAAGAAACTCAACAGTAAACAATCATGCAGACATAAAAACCAAATAATGGTATCATAAGAATCATAAACTCAAACAAAAACAGAAAGCTAAGTACTACAAGAAGGGAAAGGAAAAAATTTGTGAACATACTCTCTCATTCATGGCTAAAGAACTGCAGTGGCACCTTCAGTATCGCCAATTAAATGGCCTCTCACCAAGAAACCTGAACATCAATCAGAAAAGATTCAGATCTTACTCATTGTCTCATACAAAAATGTAAGGCAGAAACTTTTGATGTAAGAAAGACAAAGCTGAGACGTTTACTAGATTTTTTTTAAAAAACAGGCCAAATCCAGCAACCAATGATGTCAAGCAGAAATCAAAACTGTGTCAAACCAGATTATTCGTTATCTTGGGTGACCAAAATGACTGAAGGATCTTCCTTCCACACAACAAGATCATAAGAAAAAGCTTTGGCTAAACAAGAAACCAACTGCTCATGAATAACTTCTTCTGAAGGAAGCAAGGTATCCGTCTCTCTTCGCAACGATGTAACTTGTTTATCAGGAATCCCATAAGGAACAATTTGCTCAAAGTAGTTCAAATCAGGATTTATGTTAAAGGCCAAACCGTTACAAGTGCTGAAGGGAGAGGAGGGTATCTGGAATGTGATTAGCGTTTTCCTCGGAAACTAACTTGTCTTGAATTTTTAAGGGATTTCAAATAGTGGACCATGCCTAGCCTCCAAACCTCTAGGGTTCTAGGGGATCTCATATCCTGCACATTACCACAGAATCCATACTTAGAGGTTTAAATACTAAGATCTATTATCTTCGTCAGTTAAAAGACTTCTAGTTCCTGCAGTCTTTGGATTTGATGTTCCAAGTTGCAGCTTCTATGAAATAACGATGATGCTGATGATGATTCAAACAACAGTACTAGACATAGAGGCAACAAAAATCCTAATTGTCAAAGCTTCTTCCCTTCTTTTCTCTGTTTCTCGAGGTTAAATAAGAAAGAAAGAAAAGACTTTGAAGAAGGAAGATAAGAACCAGACATAACCTTGGCTATGGTTTTTGTCTGGCTTAAATAGTTCCAACGTGAATAACATACAAGCCTGAAACTACAGAGATCGATCTCCAAGATTTAAGTATCTAATTCAGATTGTTTAAAAGTATACACTTATGAACAAAGCAAACCAATTTTTGATTCTAAGAGAACTAGCAAGCAGTACCTTCTCTTCGAAACAGATATTCTCTTTCATCAAAGTGAAATTTTTTACTTGTTGACTTAAAGTTGTTTTCCTTTGAAACTCAGAAATAATATGCAAAGTGTAACAATAATCTAGTGACCCGAGAAATTTAACCTTTCGTATATACAAATTACTGTATATAATCTCAGGATCAAGCAATACTTAGATCTCCTTAAATGATATAAACAAGGTCAAGCTTGCATGTATTGTTGTTGTGTTAAGGAGCAGCACAAAATGGTCTATTACTTCTGGAACAAAGTGTTCAATGATCATAACAATCAGGATACTGAATTTTTGCTGAAGAAAACATATACAAATCTGTTCACAATGTTGTAACACCACCAAATCATATTTCTACTCACTCCTATAAAGTTTTTGACTTAGACTCCAAGCACTTTTGTCTATACACCAATTGAAAACGCATTTTTACTTATTGGTCCTTCTGCATAACCTGCAATTCAAGTAAGTGGAATTGAGAACACACACATAATAAAAGAAAAAAAAACATGAGCAAGTATATGCAGTCAAAAGGAGCTTACGCTTTCAAAAAACAGAATCTGGGGTCGAATACTCTGCGTTAAACAAATGCTGACAACACTATCCCAGTCTCCAATAACCTGGAATAACAACATACCCTCACTCAGCTAAACAAGTCACAGTTCAACATTCAAAAATTCTCTAAAAGCTTTATACCTCTATCTCAGAACGAAGATATCTGACCCATCTATTGTTTTCATAAGCTACACAGTTGTATCGATCTCCATCCGAGCAAACCTGAATATATTACCATTGGACTTGTTTCTGTTAACATAATCTCCTATCTGAAACTTAATGGAACTGAAACAAATTGTATATACTTGACCCTTACCATTGAGACAAGACGGAACTTGGTATATCGATTGTCAGCTTCGCATTGGTATATCACACTAACATCAATCTCAGTCGCCAGAACAGAAGCAGTATCGTATATTTCTCCTGCAGTCTCATTCTTTGTCCACTCAAGTGCAATTGTGAAAACAGATGGAAGATTGTTAATCATACGTTGAACATAGTTTTGTTTCCCACATCCTTCCTTATCACAAGGCATCTTTAAGTTCATCTTGATGACCTTAACGATATTCTCAAATGTAAAATCCTTGAATGCAGACTGCAAATAACCAATAACACTTTCACGAGACTGAATTCTACTTTCAATGTATAAAGGAAGAAAAAAAGAGACTTGCCTTGACTTCTCTGAGTGAACTAGCATTGATGATAAGACCAAAAGAACGTTCAGTCGGATATTCCAAATCCATCTTGCATCGATTGCAAATCTTTTTCGCCACTTCGTATACTTCAAAGTACGAACCCCAGTTAGGCAGAGCCTCCAAGATGTTTAGAAACAGATCAAAAACACTATTTGCTTCCTAAAGCGTAGAGAACAAGAAAACATCATCAAGTCTTGAGAAAGAAGTAATCAACATAGATTTTTAAAAGATGAGAGGTTAGACCAGAGGATGTTTGAGACTTAGATCGTTGAGAAGGAACTCATGAAAAACAGGTTCATCGTCTCTGGAGCTTGCGAAAACGCTAATGTCCCATAGAGACTGCACAAATTCACATTCTTGAATACATAAATCAAATAAACAAGATCGACAAAAACAGATTCTTTTTTGGTTTGTGAAGATTCCGAAACCTTGATTATCATATTAAGAGCTGAAACACAAGTGGCGTTTCGTTTCCCTGCATCGTTTTGCATTACTGGTCGATCTCTGAACAATAGATAAGCACCAAGAAGACGAAAATGTATGAGAAAAGCATAAATATACTTCGGAAGATGAGGATTAAACTACTTACGGATCCATCTCAATGATCGAAAGGAAAAACTTCTTTATTTGAATATGATTTTCCCAGAGAGAACGCAACAATGGAGATTTTCTTTCTGAATTTTCTCGAGAAAATTAAACGGCAGAGAAAGAAAATGGGAAAGAAGACGAAAGGCGAGGACTTTTACTTATAGGGTCAGAGTCGGTTAGTTTGTTCTCACGTGATCCTCACGTGATATATATATTAAGAAGCTTTGTGAATTGTGATCTTTTTTTTTTTTTGTCAAATGTGAATTGTGATCTTATGCTACAAGAAACCCCTATCTTTTGAAAATTTGTTATGAATTAATCTTTTATTATAAAAAAAAAGTCAAAAAGATTAAAACAACTAAAACGACACCGTTTTGAAACAGAAGAAAGGTTAAAAAAAACGAGCTGGGCCAGTCATGTAGCTTTAGGCCCGTCATATAAAAATAGTATCTAAACCCTACAAGTCACTCACAGGACAGAATCCCTCAAAGCTCTCTCCTTGTTCGTCTCTCTCTCTTTGCTTCAAGGTGACGCAGAATTCCGTCGAAGGCTCTCTCTCCATCTCCCTCAAGGTTTGTCGAGTTCTTTCTATAGATCTCTATGTTGTTTGGGAATTCTAAAAAAATCTTCTCTTATGTTAAATTGTGTAGAGAAAATGGGTTCAAATGCATCAGACTCTGCGATGTTGAAGAGTTGGAGAAAGACTCCTCCTCCTTCTTCTTCTCTTGTCAGAATTTCTCAGAATGCTAACGACAAATACGAATCTCCTCCTTTCTCTTCCGGTGGACACAACTGGTATGTGATCTTCGCTAAAGTTTACATCTTTCTTCACTAAAGTTCACATCTTTCTTCGCTAAAGTTTACATCTTTCTTCGCTAAAGTTCACATCTTTCTTCGCTAAAGGTCACATCTTTCTTCGCTAAAGTTCACATCTTTCTTCGCTAAAGTTTACATCTTTCTTCGCTAAAGTTCACATCTTTCTTCACTAAAGTTCTCATCTTTCTTCACTATAAACATGTATAAGTAAGAAATGTTTTCCTTTTTGTAAAACTCAGGAGATTGGTTGTTTACCCAAAAGGAAACGAAGAGGACAATGGAAGTGGCTTTGTTTCAATGTATGTGGAGTGTCTCTCATCAACAACACCACCCGTTGATGTGTTTGCTTATCTCACTTTCTTTGTCTTTAGCGAGGAAGAGAAGAAGTACCTCTCTATTCAAGGTTCGTATGCTCTTACCCTTATCATCACTCTCTTTCTCTCGTATGCATATATATATGGGAATGAATCAGTGATATGTGTATATACATGTTAACATTGTAGATGTTGAAGTAAAGCGTTTCAATTCTTCTAAAACGGTTTGGGGATTGTCAAAAGCTCTTTCGATTGAAACACTCAAAGACCGTGCAAAGGGATTTATCTTGTACGGAGAATTACATGAGTTTGGTGCTCATGTGAAGATTGTTTCACGACCTGTCTCTTTTGGTGAAGATCTCCCTTTTCACAAATTCTCTTGGACTATTCGTGATTTCTCTCTTCTCAGACAGAATGATTGCGTTTCGAAAACCTTTCACATGGGAGAAAAAGATTGGTGAGTCTATCAAAAGTTTTCTTTTCTGATATATTGTTGTATGTGTGTACATTAGTGTTAACTAGCTAACAAGTGGATGTTAATGTCTTACTACAGGACTCTAACTTTGTATCCAAAGGGGGACTCTAGAGCAGATGGCGAGTTATCCCAGCATTTACATTTAACTGACAATGATACTTTATTGAAGGGTGAGCTGATTTTCGTGCGAGTAAACCTGAAGGTTCTAGACCCGCGTGGATCCAATCACCTATCAGTATGGCGTAAGTCGAAAAATATTCATGTTATTATCTCGCAATGTTTATTGTCAGCGCTGATGAATGGGATAAATTAGACATTTTCAATAGGCGCTCTTAACTTATAATGTCAAATGTCCTGCTCCTTTGACTATAAACTAGTGGTTTTAAGTTTATAACTAATGTACTTAACATAGATTTCTTGTTTTTGTAGTTAAAAGTTGGCTCTTGAACTCGAACAAAGCGTGGGGTAAGACCCAATCCATGTCTTTAGATAAAATTCAGGGGGCTTACTTGGACCGTGAAGGTACTTTGGAGGTAGAGATCGAATGTGAAGTTGTTAACTCCATCAAAAACCATCCCTGTTTTTAGGATATCTACCATGCCATGTCTACTACTCTAGGACTTACCTACTCTGTTTGTTGCGTAGAGATTGAAATGTGAAGTTAACGCTCTATATATGTGAAGTTAACGCTCTATCTATGTTTTTAGGATATCTATTAATCTATCATGCATGTCTGAGTCTGACTATTGTATGTCTGTATGACTTTTCATGCGTTTATTAATGATCTTATTAGTTATTTAATGTTTGTTTTGGTATATCATTGCTTTTGGTTTATTTCCTCCTACTTGCCAGTTTATTAAAGATCTTGAAATCTTTTTATGATTCAACTTTTGCATTCTCTTCTTCTATTAAGGTTACATCAAATGCTATAGGGCATATTAGAGTGGACTAGAGATATGATATCACTTAGAAATCAAAAACCATTTATAATAATTTAATTCGTGAACTGACCAAAATCTATGTATCCGAATCAATTTGATAGAAAATACTAGCAAGAACTATGTAAACTTTTTTAAAAAATAATAAAACTACCGGACTTTAGAAGAAAAAGAAAAGTTATATACGAACGGCTACATTCAGTGGTAAACTGGTAATATTTAAATATGGTTTGCTAAAACTCGTTGCACATAAGAAATGGTTGCTAAAACTCAGTTGATGGTATTATTGAGAATTGCTCTAGGATATACGAAAACAATTTAGTAAAATCTATATATACATTTTTGAATCACTTTTAGCAAATAAATCTTGGACTTGGAACTTATTTACAATACAATGCTATTGGCATTTAATGTTTTAAACAAAAAATTTCTCAAATCTAAATATTAATCGATTTTGTTACTAAAATTTAGGAAACTAAAAGAAAAAAATTACAAAAATCATTTAAATTTTTCCTAATTCTTCATTAAAAAAAAAATTTGTTTTAGTTTTATGTTTTATTTTATTTTTTCATATGTTTGATTATGTTTCTTGCCAATCATGTTTGTTCAATACAATATCACTCTTCTTGAGAAGATCGAAATTGATTTTATTTTATTTTGAATCACTTTTTGGAGAGTATGATCTTCCTCTTATAGTAGTTCATATGTAGAAGCCATCCATCACAATTTTAAAAAAAAAAAAAACACTCCCTAAAACTTTCTTTTCTGATTTTTTTATTCCGGCGTTCTAATTTTGTTTTTCTATATACTTTTTTCTAATTTGCAATTGTACAAAATAATTATCACTCCCTAAAACTTTCTTTTCTGATTTTTTTTATTCCGGCGTTCTAATTTTGTTTTTCTATATACTTTTTTCCAATTTGCAATTGTACAAAATAATTATCACTCCCTAAAACTTTCTTTTCTGATTTTTATTAAATTTTGTTCTTTTTCTGGTAAGAATAAATTGTACATGTACTACGTTGATATTGCTAATTCAAATAATATTAACAAAAATGCCCAAATATAGGCTATATTAAAAGAAAAAACAGTTAGTCAAAAACACAGGTATATCAATCCCAAATTATGATTAAACTAAATATTTATTTATAATATTTTTTACCCAAAACAATAAATTTATATATACTAAAAAATTTGAAGTACCTTTTTAAAGTACTTTTGTGTTAGTAAAGTAAGAATTTACAAAGAATGTCATCACATTAAAGTCAAAAAACAATTATTATTTTTGAAATATTATTATTGATATATTTTAAATTTATAAAACATTATTAATTAAAATATCATGAGACGAGTTATATAGCGGGACGGGTTTCGATTAATATAACATGGGTTATATCTATACTTTATTATTTTATCATCACTAATTTTTTTTAGTTACAACATTAATATAAAATTATATAACTTTAATACTAAATTAAAAACCATAAAATTTAATATTTATTATATATATGAATAAAACATTTGCCCCGTGGTGTACCACGGGTTAAATCCTAGTACAAATTAAATGATAATCTCTCTAAACAAAAATTCCATTGTTTAAATTATATATTTAAGAATCAGCTATCATGCTTAAATTTCATGTTTACAAATCATCTATCATTCACATAGTTTTCTTATCAATTACACGAACCAAAGAATGATGCTAAGCTTCAATTTCAGGTTCAATTAATCAAAATCCTTTTTGGAGATATCGAAAATGTCCATCAAACCAACACTTTTAAAACAAACCAGGCCAGCTTTGTAGCTTTAGACCCATTCTAACACATTAATTTTATTTTATTTATTAATTTATTTTTGCTTAATAGGCCAGCTGAATTCTCACACCTACACCGTTAGCAAGCTTCACTGTAGTTTGCTTAATAGAAGTCATGGTGTCAAACAAACTTTTATCATATGTAACATGGTGTGTAACACCAGTATCTATAACCCAAGTATTCATATTCACTATCTTGTCAGATATAGAATAGAAATATGATTAATTCTCTGTTGATAATGAACAAAAGATGGAAGGGAAAAGAGTACCAATGACTTGACATGCCATAGGATTGATGCCTAAAACAGCTGAAGTAGAAGGTATCTCAGTGAGTGTTGCAGTAGAACTACTAGCAGTAGTACCAGTTTTCTGAGGCTGCAACTTTGAATTGAGATAAGATACCAAGTGCTGAAGCTGTTCTAGACTGAGAGTCTGTTCAATCTCTAACACGGATTCAGTGAGAGCAAGATTTGCTGAAGCATTAGGTGTGTAGAACTTCTGAGTGGGGTTTTTTCTTTGACTTTTAGGTTTCCATCCAAGAGGATAACCATGAATCTTATAGCAAACATCCACTGAGTGACCATTCAAACCACAATGTGTACAACTAACTCGAGATTTCAAAGATCTTTTAGGTTGATAAGCATTCACCTGAGCTTTTATCTGGAAGGCAAAAGGAGTAGAACGACTGACGTTTCTTGTTCTCTGAAATTCATCAGACTCTAACATGTTATACATATCAGAAAGACTAGGTCGAGGTTTGATGTTAAGGATATGTCCTCTGATATTAGCAAAGTCATCATTCAATCCCATGAGAAATTGAGTGATACGTGTGGTCTCATGATCATCCAAGATCTTCAAGACCCGAGAGCAACGACATCCACCATTTTCCATCAGATTCTTAGTACATGCTAGTCGTTCCCAGAGAGTAATCTTCTTAGTGTAGTATTCAGAGAGAGTCAAATTGTCCTGGCGCAATGAGTTAATCTCTTGTTCCAAATTATAGATCTGAGGAATATTACTTTCAAGAGTGGAATCAAGACGTACGAAGAGAGAACTAAGTGACTGGTGTCAAGTGTGGTTATAATAGAAGAAGTTGATGTCAAGAAGAAGCTGTCTAATACAACCAAAGTAAGGAGAAGAGAATTGTCGGAGTTTATTTGATAAGAAAGGAAATTATCAAGTACTCGAGACTAAACAAACCACGAGAAGAATCAGGGATGAGTAGGGCTACATCAGGAGATGAAGACTTGAAGCAGAGACTGAACGGAGAGTGGTATTTAGGAGAGATCATGAAGTATTGAAGAAGAACAGATGGATCGAAGCGAGTGAATGATCTTGTCACCAGTTAATGATCTAACACTCAAAGGAGATCTTAAAAGAAGAGAGACAAGGAGAGAGTTAGAGAACAGCGATACGAGATATGATCAACCGAAAGCATAGAGGAGATCAGAGGAACTAGCCATAATCTAGTAGAATTCGGAGACGAATTCTTTTAAGGGGAGGAGAATGTAATACCCCTGACTATGACTAGAAATCAGACGGAAGGCCGCGAACGTAGAAGTTCGACCGTGACTTAGAAAATTTTTCGGAAAGAAAAATTGAATAAAGCCGTGGGTAAATCATCAAACTTTACCGGAAGGATCGAAGACTGAAGGAAGTTTACCGTAGATGTTCAAGATCAGAGTAGTAGTGAATTGAGAATTTATCGGTTAACGCTAAGTATGAAGAAGACTAGAATCGGCTACAGCATTGGGCAGTTAAGGCTATCGTCGAAAATTATATTTTCACCAAGGAGATTTATTTACGGGAAATTGGTTGATGGAAAGATCAATTTTTCCGAGGAAAATGAAAGAGTGATGTTACGTGGAGAAAGTTTTTATCGGAGGAAATCAATTTTAGCGAAGAAAGAGTAATTTTGGGCCGAGCCAAGCAAGCGGTGATCGAACGGAATCGGATACGGAGACAAAAAGATTTAGTGGAGTAATTAAATGACTTAGTCATTTATTTTTAGATTTGTCGAAGTGGAATAGGTAATGATCATTGTGAGCGAACGGTGGTCGGAGAGCTCTCGGTACGAGCGTGTACCGTGAGCGAATGGAACGAGTGGTCGTGGAGGCCATGTCGTAGACGTGCTTGTGGCATAAGCAGCTGTGCCACGAGCTGGAGTGTGTTTTGCGTGAAGCACCACACGCTCGGATAAGGATAAACATGGATAAAGATAAGGATAAGCCTTATCTTTTCCTTAGCTTGCACGCCAAGCAACCGTAGCTTGTACTCCAAGTTACTATAGCTTGCTCCCCAAGTTTCCCTACCCTATATAAACCCACGAGATCCCATTCATTATTTCTCACACCAAAAATCCACCTTAAACCGTTAGTTACTTCGAGAAGCTTGTCGGAGTCCGAGTCGGGTAGAAGTTGGTCGAGTCGAGAGTTGTAGTCGGGTAATCCGGTAAGTAGTTCCGCCTTTAGTTTTTTATTCTTTTTAGAATATTTTTTCTAAATTTTGTTTTCGGTCCGACGCTTAGATCCATCGTTAGTACGCGTTGGAGATAGCTCGGTCGGATAAAAATTATTAGGCGGTCAAGGGTAGAGTTTTATTCTCTCGACAATAAGGCCAAGGTGAGTTCCGTAGCGAGTGTAGTAGCACACGACTAGGTTTTATTTTTGGGTTTATGATGGTTAGGCATGAGGTTGCATTTTTATACTTAGTATAAATTATGCATAAATTATGGTTAGCTGGTTATATGTTTTGACGTATAATTGGGTTGATTATTTTAGATAGATCTCGCATTCTTGCTTGATTTATTTCTGGTAGTTGCATGATGTTGAATATAATTGTTTGGGTGTTCGTAATTTTTATTACGAATTTAAATTATTAGCAAGCATGTTAGGTTGTTTGATTGTTGAATGATTGATTGTTGTTAGTTAATCTTGCATTAGCTCGATTAACATATGTGTAGTAGGTACTTGCTAGTAGATCTTATTACGAGTAGTATTGAGGTTTAATCCGCTCGTAGTAAGTAGTTATTGTAAGTCATTTTTCTTATGACTATAGTATGGAGATGTCTTGATTGTCCCAATAGCTCGGAATGGCTCGCTACCACCCGAGGCTGCCTGACGAGGTAGTAAAAAATTCACCGTAAGAGATGTGATCTCTTATAAACGGTTTGGTTGGGAGAAGGGATGTTTGATCCTTCTAGCCTTTGTGGCTTAGGGTCGGAGAAACGTTGCCTAGTGGGCGATCAGCATCGTATAGGGCCCGTAGAATGAGGAGTCGTTAGCATGCTAGTTGTAGTTTTAGTAGTAGTTCCGCTGCATGTACTCTGTATTGAGTACTTTTGTTTGTATACACTTTTCTAAGTGTATTTGTGTGATTTCTTGTCGAGTATACTCAATCGAGTATACTCGTGTGTTGCATTGATTGCTTGTTTGGAGGTTGGGATTGGGATTATTATTATTTGTTAGAAAACCGGACTCACTGAGTAATCTTAAATTACTCATGATTCAACCTTTTGTTTTACAGGTAACCTTAGTTGGGAGACCAAAAAGGGGAGCACGGACGTTGGGAACCGGTGTAGAGTTTGTTGTCTTTGTAAAATAGGGATTTGTAATAATTGACTCGATTTGAGCCTTAGGCTCGTGATCCCAATCAATTGTAAGTGTTTTCAATGTTTTATTGAATAAAATGAGATTTCTTTAAAAGCCTTGTGTATTACTGATATTAGTCTTGTCCGGACTAACACAACTCGCGGACATGGTACGGGTTAAAAAGCCTTAGGCCGTGTTCGTGAGGAACGACACCCGCGGATGGACTGACCTTGGTACCAGATGTGTTCTAGGAACTCGGTCGGATCGTCTACGGGCGTTGTACGTAACGCTCCCGGATCGTTCTTAGTCCTAGGACGGTTCGGGGGTGTTAAAGGCACCACTTGCGTTGTGTTCAATGCATTGGCAGAATCTTTCCGATGTTTGTTGAACCATTCAGAAAACTTCTCCAATATCGCATCAATCATCGGTAATTGATGGTACTTCCTTACTTCCCTAAACACAGCGTTCATTGGCTCTGCGGAGTTGCTAGTATCTATGTTGTACTTGTCTCCCTCAGCATGACTCCTAGCCCATTTTTCAATCCCAATAGAATTATCCAGATATTCAGCAGCTCTAGGATACCTTCTCCTAAAATCACCATACTGAATGTTGAACTCGGTCTTAGTATATATATATGAGCGCATTCCTTGAATTTGTCAACACCTACGTCCTTGTCCCCAGTCAACTTTGGCCTAAGGTTGTGGGACAAATGCCATATACAATGACCATGTGATGCATTTGGAAACACATCCATCACTCCCTTGATGATGCTTTGATGTCTGTCGCTTATGAAAACCAAACCATCTTCATCCGGTACTACCTTTCTCAACATTCTGAAAAACCAATTCCAACTAGCATGATTCTCACTATCAATTACACCAAACGCAATGGGGTAATGGTGACGATTAGGATCCTGAGCTGTTGCAATAACTAACATCCCACCATATACAGTTTTCAAAAATGTTGCATCAATCACTAACACTTTCCTCATTGCCTTAAACCCTTCAATGCTTGCGCCTAAAGCGATAAATAGGTACTTAAACCTCTCTTCTTCATCCAATTCCATTTCTGTTACTGTCACAGAATTCACCTCTCTTAACATGTGGAGATAAGCAAACAACATCGTGTAGCAAGCTTCAGGGTTCCCACGCATATCACTAACATGTTGTTTTTCCCTCTCAAGGCGGTGGAGTAGGAACAATCCAAACCAAGTCTTCCTTTAACAAGACTCATGATGGTTTTAGGATCCGGTGTTTCCAATTGACCACGGAAGTCCTCATGCAAAACACTTGCTACTAATCGAGGTGTGCCTTTTTGTTTAAAATATCTAGTACTCTCCTCACACCTAGAGCATGTATGCATTTTTTGTGAACTCTTACACTCCAAAAATCAGATTTCTTTATTCTAGCAACTCTTAAATAACATTCACAACCCATGGAAGCTTGACTGCATTCAATCAGAAGTCGCATCGGGTCTGACTTCACACATTTCACACCAAACAAGTTTGCCTTTGCAGCTCTATTAACCAAATCCCATACTGCCTCCTTAGAAGGAAATTCTTGATCTTTTTCCAGATCCATACCATCTTCCCATTCTTTAACTGTTTCCTTACTTAGTTACAGGCCGTGAAAGCTCAACATATTCATGCCTAACATCATTCTCACATGAATCTTCCGTTTGTCGTCGGCGGGGAAATGACGACAGAAATCTCGATTGGAGCGATTCTTCTCTCAGCTCGATTTCATCTCGATTTTTGTTTGTTTTTTGTTTTAAAATTAATTCAATTTCTCCAAATAATTAATTAAGGGTATAAGGGTATAATCCACTCTATGAGTGGCATAGAGACTCTAAAATGGCATGTCTGATTCAAATTTCCGGTTCAGTGGCAAACTAGCCCGTGACTCCCTAAATATAGATAGTGTAACCGATCAAACCGAAGTGAATAAACCAAATTGTTCCTTTAAGCCCAGTAATAAAAAAAAAAAACTACAATGAAGAGATATGGGCTAATGATCGTTTAAGGCCCAACATAATAATAAAACGAGACCTCCTCCTTTTCTCTAATTAACAACGGCCATTAGAAATGACACTCCTCTTTCTTTAGTGGGCCTCTTTCGCCTAATTTTTTTTTTTTTTTCTCCCGTGGAGCGTTATTGATTTTCTCCGGAGATCGTCATCGCCATCGCCAGGTTTTGAATTTTTAGGGTTTCTTTCGATTTTATGTTTATTTCAGATCCAGAGCTCTCTTTTGATTGCGTGATTTTGTGTTTTTCTTAGATTTCCAAATTTCGATTTTACTTTGTTTTATCAAAGCAAATCGATAAAACTCTTTTTAATTTCAAAATTTCATGTTGGTTTTGCAATTTCGTATTTGCGTTTTTCTATTTCGTGAAATTAAAATCACTTTTTTTTTTTTTATCGTTGTGTTCGTCAAAGATTTTACCTTTGTTGTTAGAAATTAGGGTTTCTAATCGAAAGCCCTCTTTTACATCAGTGATTTCTTTAGTGTGAAGGTTTCTTAATTCGTTTACTTACTTTTTGTTTTTGAATGATTTTGGTTCTTGTTAGGGTTTCTGATGAAGACACGTTTTAAAGATTTGTTTACGTTTTTATGGATTTGTAAAACCTCCGCAGATTCAACAACGACGGATTCGATGACTGGCCTGTCACAGAGTTCTTCCTCTCCGATCTCATCAACGCCTTGGCCTCATCATGAGAGCTTCTAGGTACAATTTTTTTTTTCTCCAATTGATATCTCTTTTAATGGTTTCGATTTTGTTTCTTTCGATCTCTGTCAGCTAGAGGCACAAGAAGCTTGGGTATTGCTGCGATGAAGATCAAAGGCTTCTTGTTGCAGAGTTCATGCCAAATGATACTCTTGCTCAGCTTTTGTTCCATCGTATGATTCATCCTCTTTATCTCTTTTTTTGTTTTCACATTTAGCAGTTGGGGAATCTGAGGTTAAAAAGGCTGCATTGTTGGTTTATTTGACCTGATTTTGTGTTAAAGATGGTGTTAATGTATATGCTTGTAGAATCGATATTGATCAGAACTTGATACAAATCTCTGTTTTTTGAAGTTCTGTTTCTGTTGTGATTCACAGAGATAAACCAAACCATGGAATGGTCAGTGACGTTGCGAGCGGCATGTCATATAGCCGAAGCATTAGATTATTGTAGCCATGCAAGTTCTGTTTGATAAGGTATACATTAAAACATATTTCCATGAACGTGCCTATAGCTTCTTAATGATCTATGGATGCTAAACTGTTTTATATTGCTTAATGGATATGTTGAAGGATGATGATGCATGTATTTCCTGTTTCTGTTTAGTGAGGGAGATCATCGATTATGATCAAAGAACAACAGGTAACCAATTCGTACTTCTCTCGTCAGAATGATTATTCATGTTATTCACATCTAAATGTGATGTTTATATTCTCCTTGTAGGAAGTGTGAACCCTGAGACTCTGACATACAGATCTGGTACTATACTTGTGAATCTGCTAACTGGAATGCACATTGCTCCAAGCCATGTAAGTGATTCTGTTTAAGCCCTCTCCTCTCTTGAATTTGTGATTGTAATCATTAGATTCTCTGTCATTGTCAATGTCTTGCAACACAAGCCAAATACAAAAGCGAGTTTTTCTTCAGTTTTAGGGTTTGGTAGATTCGTGATTGTTATTTTACTAAACCTCTCTTTTTCAAAATCAAAAATTCGATTTGGTTTTTCATCAAGCAAATACGAAAGCCTTCTTTTCTTAGTTGTGTTATTGCATCTTAAGGTTTTCAATTTCAAAACTTGCGTCTCGCACTAAAGATTTTACGTTGTTGTTTCAAATTGGGTTTCTGATTGTTTTGTTTCTGCAAATCAAAAGCCCTCTTTTTGCTATGTGTTTTTTTCTTTTTCGAGGGTTTTTTTTTTCTTTTTTTCTTGATTATAGTTTTCTTAAATTTGAAACCTTTTTTGCAAATTCAGAGTTTCGATTGATTTTTTTATATATTTTCGTAAATCAGAAATCCCTCTTTAGAATTCCTGTTTTGTTCTGTTTCGAGGGATTTTTACTTCAAATTTTTGTTTGTCTAAAGTTTTATGTTTTCTTCAAACCCAAAAGAAAGGGACTACACATTATATGATTGTGTATGTCCGGTTTCTAACTTGGGGAGATGTTGCCTATGTTAAACAAGCAGGATGTGATTAAAATCTGTAAGACTTGTAAAATTATATTAGACAAGCAAGATTTTATTGAAATCTGTAAGGCTTGTAAAATTATGTAAGACAAGCATCATTTTGATTGAAATCTGTAAGTCTTGTTAAATTATGTAATGCAAGCATCATTTTGATTGAAATATGTAAGACTTGTCTAATTATTTAAGACAAGCATCATTTTGATTGAAATCTGTAAGTCTTGTGTAATTATGTAAGACAAGCAAGATTGGATTGAAATCTGTAAGTCTTGTTAAATTATGAAAGACAAGCAAGATGAGATTGAAATTTGTAAGACTTTGTCTAATTATTTAAGACAAGAGATTTTGATTGCAATCTGTAAGACTTGTTAAATTATGAAAGACAAGCAAGATGAGATTGAAATCTGTAAGACTTGTCTAATTATTTAAGACAAGCAAGATTTTGATTGAAATCTGTAAGACTTGTCTAACTATGTTCAAAGATTGGATAATTGAATCTAATCGATATATTGCTGGCTGGGCAGCATAACTTCAAGTTTCTGCATAGAACTGCTTTCATTAAGGCTTTTCTAATGATGTCCTAGAAGGATAAATTCAATGATCTGCTTATTGATGGGGATAAAACTTAATGATCTGCTTATTTGATGGAGATAAATTCAATGATCTGCTTATTGATGGGGATAAAACGCAATGATCTGCTTATTTGATGGAGATAAATTCAATGATCTGCTTATCGATTTGGATAAATTCAATGATCTGCTTATTTGATGGGGATAAAACTCAATGATCTGCTTATTTATGGGGATAAAACTCAATGATCTGCTTATTTGATGGAGATAAATTCAATGATCTGCTTATTTATGGGGATAAAACTCAATGATCTGCTTATTTGATGGAGATAAATTCAATGATCTGCTTATTGATTTGGATAAAACTCAATGATCTGCTTATTTGATGGAGATAAATTCAATGATCTGCTTATTTATGGGGATAAAACTCAATGATCTGCTTTAAAACTCAATGATCTGCTTATTGACGGGGATAAATTCAATGATCTGCTTATTGACGGGGATAAATTCAATGATCTGCTTATTGACGGAGATAAAACTCAATATCTGCTTATTGATGGAGATAAACTCAATGATCTGCTTATTAATGGAGATAAATTGTCTTTTATAAGACTTGTCTAATGAATTCAGATTGGGGAATTCAGTTGTATGGATGAAAAAGCATAAAAACATGTAGTTAATCCTTTCTGCCTAGCTCTTGAAGCTATTCCTGTTAGCGAAGGCACATCATTGTGCAACGCTTTATGGGTCAGGCTCGAGCAAGGCACTAAAGACAAAGAGAGAGAGATGACGCACTAAAGGCAAATCAATATACATCTTACTGAGAAATGATATTCATTGGGACATCATGTTCTAATTTTCAATATTCTGCATAAAAAAAAATCTTAACTTGCAGACTGTATCTTTCCCTCTTTTAATCAGCTAAGTGTCTCTTTCGTCTTTTAAAACAAGGTATAATCTTCATAATATTTTTCCTTGATGGATTTTGTAGTTCGTTAATTGATTACATCTTTTGATCACGTAGTCTTTTATAACTATTTGACTATGAGTGATTATTTATCTATTTTTTTTAGCTTCAGAAGACCAAGAACTGGAGTGTGTATACGTGATCGTTCTCAGGTTCAACTTCTCTCCCTCGGTTTGAAATATTATAGTTTGAATACTTATAGTAGTAGCATTTTGGTAAACTCTGGTGCACAAGAAGATTAGATGAATGAACAGGTAGGTATTCGTATCCTATAACTGCTTGTTTATAAGAGAGAATTTAATTTTATATATGAGTCCTATATCTGCTTGTTTATAAGAGAGAATTTCATCCTTATAAGATTTCTTCTCTCTGTCCCCGTTTCAGCAACTTTTGGAGTGTCTCCAAAAGAAAGCTTTGGTTTCTCAGGTACGTCCTCTGTATATTGCTTTGATATGTAATTGTATTAATTAGTGGTTGCGTTTAGCTTCTTGTAGTAGTTGCATGAGTTCGTGTACATAGATAAGATGTAAGCATGAGTTCTTGCAAGTTTTATTTATGTCAAAGACTCTTAATCGTACATTTTTTTTTTGTCAAAGTCTCTTAATCGTACATCTGATATGTTTTTCAAATAAGGCATCTTTGGTGGTAGTGTAGTGTACATGAATTCTTTTATCAATATGATAGTGTTGTTGCTTGCGTTTTAATTGTTTTAGTGGACAATGTTCGATTTTTTAACCGGAAAATTTAGCAGGTTCTTATCAGATAATTTGTTATCCCTTAACCAAAGTTGTGATTCATATATTGTTTATGTTGTTGCAAAGTTGAGATCTCATGATTTTCCAACGTTCAATGATTTCTTTTTGTCTTACTATACTAATTTATGGTTTATATCAAACTTGCAGGAACTAAAGGGTTATTATCTCTCCAAGTCCACGCGATTCTAAACATTTGACTTTGCCATCCACGCGATTCTTCAATGATTTCTTTTTGTCTTACTATACTCATTTATGGTTTATATCAAACTTGCAGGAACTAAAGGGTTATTATCTCTCCAAGTCCACGCGATTCTAAACATTTGACTTTGCCATCCATTTGTGGTCTAAAACCTCATTCTCTTCTTTGAAACCAAAGGTATAGCCTATAATCATCTTGAGGTCCCTACTTACATCTGGTACAGTTTTTTTTTCAGCCTTCAGATATATTTTTAAGCAAAGCATAACTCTTTGATTCTTCAATCAGAGGGCATGATTGGAGCTTTTGTGGCGTGCGTCGTCTTCAACACTCTTATTTCCAAGTAAGTAACTTTCTAAGTTTACTTAAGACATATATGCATGAACGTTTTTAGATATTTTGGTATTGTTGGCTTTGGTTTATTTCTCCTTTGGCTGTGTGTTTTTTTTTTCTAGGTGGATTAATGTTTCCTTTAGAAAACCAAACCTCAATTAAAGCACCCACATCTTTAGAGCACACTGATACAAATAATCGCATAACACGAACACATACACTAAACGTAAACATACACACAAAAGTAACTTTTGTGCTCACACTAATACAAACATAAATGCATTACACGGACACATACTCTAAACGTAAACATAACTTTTGTGCTCACACATGAACTTACTAACTTATTTTAATGCAACACAATTGGAAATGCAATTGTTTATGTTGTATGATGAACGAGTGCTAAACAGAAGTTTATGAAATTACTTACTAACCCTCTGTTTATATAAGAGGCTTATGTACAGTTTTTCATTAGTCTTAAAAGTCTCGGTACGACTTCATTTTTCAATTTGTGACATGGAATCAGAGCCGTGAAAAAGCTCTCTTTCATTCACACATTTTCTCTTTGATTCCTTGGAACTTTTCCAAGAATCACTCTCTATTCTATAATCATATATAGGATTAGAGGTAAGCTTGGCCATTTGGTTACTCGGATCGGTTCCATTCAGATTCGGTTCTTCGGTTCTTGAGATTTCGGTCTCATTCGCGTAATTTTTTGGTTCGGTTTTGGTCCGGTCCTTTCGGGTCCGGGTTGGTTACTTTTTACTCGAAATTATTCAAAAGTAAACTTAAACCCGAAATTACCTGAAATACTTAAAACAAATTGTAACTGTATCAACCAAATATACCCAAATTACCTTGAAATTAGTCATGGCATAATCCGTTTAAACCGAACTCAAAAAACCGATGATTTCGACTTTCGGTTTGGAATTGATTACTGTTGTAAACCGATCGGCAGAATTTTAAATTGATTTTGGTTTTCGAGTTTTTCGGTTCGGTTCATCAAAACCGATCAGTATTTCAGTTAAAGAAGACACCTTATATTAACAGAAAACCCTAGATCTATCACTTCATATGTTTGTTTTCTAATCTCTCCTTCTCACGAACCCTTCTTTTCTCCTCTTCGACAAACCCTCTTTATCTTTGACCTTCTAATCCTTCTTGTTGGTGTCGGATCTCAGTATCCGCCCAGCCCGGAGGGAAAATGGTTTATCGTAAATGGGCCGCAAGATCCTAAATGGGCTGAGAACTGTAAGCGAACTGTAAGAAATGGCTGAGATGTCATAGCCCTTATCGAAGTTGAAGGGCATTCCCCAATGCGTGTAACAGACAAATCTTCCGAGCCATAATGAAGAGACGTTGATTGCAGAGCATTTAATAGTCTGTTATGCGGATTGTAAGTAACGTCTAGGCGCTATTCGCGGCGGGAAAATGGCTGCATTTATGAAATATAGTCTAGGGTTCGCATAAAAATAGTAAGGTGGATGAAAAAATCTTGTAAAAAAACTCTTATCACGATTAATACTATACACTTTTCAACTCTCGATTCATTGCTTTACGATTCGAACGTGCTCATCTCACGAGGCCTAGATCCCCAAATTGTCCACAAATTCTTAAGTGCGGATTCCGACATCATCCATATTTTAGCGCTAGGAGGGGCAGCCCAGTCTCTCACTCTAGAGTATCAATCGAATCGCTATGGCAAACAACAGAGATCAAACCTCTATGCTCGACGAAATCAAGAAGATGCTAACGGATTTGGATGATAAGTCAGATCAACAGCAGCGCACCATCACTGAATTGTCTGAGAAGTTCATATCATTTGAGGAGCGTTCCAACACTTATGCCGACGAATCGACACTCTTATTCAAGGGAATTTGCGAACCTATTAAGAGGGCATTTAGAGTTTTACGACCCTATCCACCCGAACCCTCAAGTTTCTCAAACTGTTGTTGCTGGTGGAGTAATCCGCTACTGCTGTGTCCGGAAGTCACGCCTCTTCCCCATAATCCGGAATGCAACAAGATTTTTCACACTTCAATCCAGAGATCCAAAGCATGCAGAACAAGATCCAAGCAATTAAAGTCCATAAGGCCACCAACTCGGCTCCCGAGGTGGACATGGTAATTGAAGAAACAAATAGAACTCTTTTCACACCTTGCATCTCTGGATTTCGTATCCGAGATACCAGGGAGATAAAACTCCCGAGCTACGGTGGGTCAGGAGATTCGAAGGAGCATCTTACCTTTTTCCGAGACTCTACGGGACGTGTACGCCTTGAACCGCATGAAGATGATGCATGACCCTGTAAATTGTTTGTTGAGAACCTTTTCCGGACCGACCCTCTCATGGTTCACTCAGCTCGAAGAAGGATCGATCGGTAACTTCAATCAGCTGTGACATGCTTTCGTTAAGCAGTATGGTTACTTCATCAAGCATGCAGTCACTAATGCTCAACTTTGGAACCTTTCCCAAGGGGTAACTGAGCCACTTCGTGTCTACATTTCGACATTCAAGGAAATCATGGTTCAGATTCCTAGATTGTAAGATTCAGCATCTTTATCAGCTTTTAAAAATGGTTTAAGGCATGAGTGCCGCTTTTGTAAAGAATTGAACGTTAATCGACTTACAACAATCCTAAACGCACTTCATCGTGCAACGAATTGGATCAATGCCGAGGAAGAGATCCGATTGCTTATTGCTCCAATTGCTTATTACTAATTTCACAAGATGAATGAGCACGCTACTAAAGATTGCAAAAGGTTGGGGCGGCTCCTGGCATCTAAATTTGCGGCTGACAAGATCACTGAGGTTGATGTCTCGGAGCTCAAGTAAATGCAAGCCCATAACCAAGTTGTAGTAATCGAAGAACCTTCACCTCCTAGTAAGAAAGCTAAGACGGCTCAAAGTCCGAACAGTCCAAAGATCCCAAAGAAAAGAATCGAAATGATTATGGGTGGATCAAAACTGTTCCGTGATTCGATCATTGCTATCAAACATCATTAGCGTAAAGCGACCTCGCCATAGGTTACACGAGCCAAGCTAACCTGCTAAGAGTTACCCTAGATAACGTTTAAAGAAAGTGAAATGGATGGTTTGGACAAGCCTCATGACGACGCATTGGTCATAATGCTCGACATAGGGCATTACGAGGTATCACAGATTTTGGTGGATATCGGGAGTTCGGTTGATATGATTTTTTCCTGGATACTTTAACTAGAATGGGTGTTTTGAAGCCATATATCAAGAGACCCCCAAGTCCTCTACTCTCCTTCACTAGTGAAGCTTTAATGTCATTGGGAAGAATTATACTGCCTGTATCAGCTTGAGGAGTTGTGAAATGGTCGAGTTCACAGTTTTCGACCGACCAACGGCTAACAATATCATTCTGGGAACCCCATGATTATTTGAAATTAAAGTAGTACCTTCAACATATTATCAATGCGTGAAGTTTTCTACGAAAACTGGGGTGGTGCAAATTCTGGGTAATCAATGAGATCTCGCACAAGCACAATGTGGATCCTACTTTCAAACCTGTAAAACAGAAGCGAAGTAGTCAAATTACTCGACGCCGGTCTAATTTGCAAAGTTCAATATCCTGACTGGCTCGCAAATCCTGTAGTGGTTAAAAAGAAAAACGAGAAGTGGCGAGTCTGTGTAGATTTTATTGATCAAAACAAAGCTTGCCCTAAGGACAGCTTTCCATTTCCTCACATCAACCGCCTTGTAGAATCCACAACTGGTCACGAGATGCTATCTTTCATGGATGCTTTTTCAGGTTATAATCAGATTTTGATGAATCCGAAGGATCAAGAAAAAACATCTTTCATTACGGTTCGCGAGACCTATTGCGATAAGGTCATGCCTTTTGGCTTGAAAAACGCTGAAGCTACGTACCAACGTCTAGTAAACCGAATGTTTCAGGATCTCCTCGGAAAAATTATGGAAGTCTTTGGTTTTGACTTTGCACATGGGGCATTTAAAAGAATGTTTTGCCATTTTGAATCAGTTCAGAATGAAGTTGAATCCGTCTAAATGCACATTTGTTGTACCTTCGGAAGAGTTCTTGGGATATATAGTCACGGAGCGCGGAATCGAAGCAAATTCAAACCAACTCAACGCGTTTCTTACTAAACTTCTCCAAGCAACATCTGCAAGGTTCATCGTTTCACTGGGCGGGTTGCGGCCTTAAACAGATTCATTTTCAGGTCAAACGATAAATGCCTTCAATTTTATAACTTGCTTCAGAAGGGAAACAAGGGTTTCACCTGGGATGAACAGTGTGAGGATTCTTTCAAGGATTTCAAAACTTTTTTTATCGAAACGTCCAATTTTAGCCAAACGGGAGTTCGCATAGTAGCTTTTCTTCTACATTTTGGTTTTGGATAGCGTATTAAGTGGAGTACTCGTTCGTAGCGAAGAGAGACCAATCTTTTACATAAGTAAATCATTCACTTGAGCTGAGTCGAAATACCCTATGATGGAGCGAAATTAAGGCCATTTTTTCAAGTATCATATGGTTGTTGTTTTAACCACGCAACCACTTCGTACGATCATGCACAGTCCCAATCAATCAGGCTAAGTGGGCTATCGAGCTCAGTGAATATGGCATCAAGTTCCGAACTAGGACATGTGCTAAATCCCAAGTACTCGCTGATTTTTTTAATCGAACTCCCACTAGCATCCTGTGAAGCAGAAATTATAAAAGTCCTCTTGGTTCTCCACGTTGATAGTGCCTCCTCGAATCAAGTAGCTGGAGTCGCGATCCGATTAAAATCACCTAGCGGAGAGGTTATCGAGCAATTGTTCCGTCTCGCATTTGATGCCTCCAATAACGACGCATATTACGAATCTCTACTTGCCGGTTTAAGTTTGGCCGTCAGAATAGGGGTTACCAACCTAGAAGCTTTCTGCGAATCGCAGCTCCATGCTAATCAGTTTTCAGGAGAGTATGAGGCAAAGGACAGTCGAATGGTCTTGTGTAACCACCCGACTGTCCCTCCCAGTGGGCCCCACGTCTTCTCTCAGGCCCATGGGTCCACCCTTGTTCGACGGCCGGTCCGCTACGTCCGGAAGACTTTAAAGACTTGTTTACCGACTCTACAAATCACCACATGATCTTTTCCTGTGTTTTGTCCTCACTCACACAGTTCCGAAAATCACTTCCCGAAAGGTCACCCATCCTGAAATTGATCCAGCTCAAGCACGCTTAAGTGTAGAGTTCTCTCAGGACAGTTGATCGAAAAGATAAGTGCACTTTGGTGACATAAGTGGCCAAATCAATTCTTTTAAACCTCTCCGCATGCACCACCACATTCCTGAAACCGGGGGTGTTACATCTTGTCCGAGAACTATCATCTAGATTCTAAAGATTTGAACTCTCTAGAATTCCACGAGCATAAAACTCAGCATTAGATGCTCTGGCCGCTCTCACCTCAAGCTCCGAAGTAATAATAACTAGGTTGATCCCAGTCGAAGTCATTGAACGACCAAGTATTCATGATGCGGAGTTAAATTTTGTTACTACAAGAGTAATGCGCAGATGTTGGATTTTGGTGAAGTTACTCAAAAAGCTATGAATCCCGAGCCACTTCCTTTGGCAGTCTTACATCCTCTAAGATCATCTAATCCTGAACCTGCGGAACCGGTACCGCCGCCTCATGTCTAGGGGGCAGACTAGAGGATACCTATCCAAGAATATATCCTTAATGGCACTCTTCCCGCATAAAAGTGGGAAGCTCGAAAATTGAAAGCCACGAGTGACCGCTTCAATATTTTTCTGACGACATCTGTATCGATGAAATGTCTAAGGTTCTTATGCAATATGTATCTTCAGGGAGCAAGTTCGTAGTGTCATCAAAGAAATACATGATGGCATTTGCGGTAATCATTCCAGAAGTCCGTCCTTAGCAATTAAAATCTAGAAGTACAACTATTGTTGGCCAACTCTGATCACGGATTGCGATTTATGTTTAGAAGTGAGAACAGTTACAAAAGCATCCTCCTTTTATCCATTAACCCACTTAACATTTGTCTTCGATATCCGCACCTTACCCATTTACGAGGTGGTATATGGATATTGTTGGGCCTCTTCACAGATTTACACACGGAGTGAGCTTGCTTCTGGTTTTAATCTATTATTTCTTGAAATGGGTAGAGGCAGCAACCTGCACAAACATAGCTCATGTCCAAGTTTAGAAGTTCGTATGGCAAGAAATCATCGGCAGACACAGTTTGCTTTATGAAATTGTTATTGTAATGGCTCGCTGTCCATCTCCAATCAGTTCGAGTCCTTCTGCGAAACTTGGAGAATTAGACTTAGCAAATCTACACCTCGCTATCCACAAGGAAATGGCCAAGCCGAAGGCCCGAAGCCATGACCAAAACAATCCTTGCAAATTTAAAAAAGAGGCTCAAGGAGCATAAGGGTGCTTGTTTTAACGAGCTGCAAAGCGTCCTAAGGGCCATCACAACCCCGGATAGAAATGAAGTAATCTATATTACTCCTATGCTCCGGGTTCCTTTTCCACATCAACGGACCACATCGCAGCGATCTCATGTCCATTCAGAGTGATTCGATTAGTCCTGGACTCGCCGATAAGCAATTCTTCTTTGGGAAGAGTTGCATCCTTCGCTTGTACGGGACTAATGTCAACCTGAAGATGAGCAAATTCAAGAGAGACGACTTTTAGCGCACTCACCTCGGCAACCTTTTGGGCTGCTTTTTCTTCGTCTCTCCTGACAGTTCTGAGCTCCTGATCAGTATCAATGATTTCCCCACTCTTGATCTCTTTGAGAAGCTCGTAGTTGGCTTTCGTCTCTGCAGCCCATAGGGCGGCGGGCTCGACTTTGCTTACTTCGTTGAGGAAAGTCTCGTACTAAAAAGTGCTCGCGAAAAGCCACTTTTTCCTTTTTCTTCGCGGCTTTGATATCCTCGTCGTGCCTCTCTTCGATAAGCTTGCATTGGGCCTCGCACTCTTCCAGCCTCTAAGTACATATTCTTACCCTAAAGCTTCTTGGACAAGTCCAGATTTGTAACCTCCAGCTCGTTGTAGCCAGCCTCCGCCTTCTTCATCATATTCTTGATCTGATTCGCCTTGTTGACTGCTCTCGCGTTCTTTTCCTCGATGATCTTGTGCTCTCGAACCTCCTTCTCCAGGTCAGCAATTCGACCCTGCAATGAATTAATTTCCCTAGAATGGGAGTTCGCAATCTGGTCCTCATGACTTGCGGTGACAAGAAGAAAGTAAACCGGGATCTTATTACCTTTCCATGTTTGCCGGCAAAGCGGAAGTACTTTCTCAATTGATGTCCTTGAGCTTGCTGAATGGGGGGGATTACCGACCGGGGGGGGGGGGGAGTATACCAGAGGATGGGCTTTCTTGGATGATTCTTTAGGTTTGTCTTTACCCGATCTCGTAGGTTTATACCAGAGGATCCCCCATCTAAATTCTTCGGATCCAGAGTTCTTGATATATCCGAAGAGCGAGATGGGCTCGAAGTTTTCCCTTTGGTTGATAGTGTTTTACCCTTATTCTCTCTGAGAGCTTGATACATCGCTGCTTTGTGTTGCTCCTCTCCTTGGCTCTCCGAGCTCTCTCTTTATCTAGATTCTTCTTTTCGCGGCACAATGGTGGAAACATGTCTGCTTGCGGTAGGAGAGGGTGGGGAAGAGGTGATGCAACAACTAGGTCTGTCCTCGAGCGGATTCATTTTCCCGATCTCCTGATTCTTTTACAAGTGAAGGAGTCCTAGGCAATCTGATTGTTATAGAAGGCGACTAAGTGTTGGGAAAAAGTATGGGACGCGAACCTTGCTTGAACTTAACTGCAAGAGAAAGTGTAAAACCCAAGTCAGTCCGCATAGAAGAAATCATAAATGCAGTTATACCAGAGGATGGGCTTTCTTGGATGATTCTTTAGGTTTGTCTTTACCCGATCTTGTAGGTTTATACCAGAGGATCCCCCATCTAAATTCTTCGGATCCAGAGTTCTTGATATATCCGAAGAGCGAGATGGGCTCGAAGTTTTCCCTTTGGTTGATAGTGTTTTACCCTTATTCTCTCTGAGAGCTTGATACATCGCTGCGTTGTGTTGCTCCTCTCCTTGGCTCTCCGAGCTCTCTCTTTATCTAGATTCTTCTTTTCGCGGCACAATGGTGGAAACATGTCTGCTTGCGGTAGGAGAGGGTGGGGAAGAGGTGATGCAACAACTAGGTCTGTCCTCGAGCGGATTCATTTTCCCGATCTCCTGATTCTTTTACAAGTGAAGGAGTCCTAGGCAATCTGATTGTTATAGAAGGCGACTAAGTGTTGGGAAAAAGTATGGGACGCGAACCTTGCTTGAACTTAACTGCAAGAGAAAGTGTAAAACCCAAGTCAGTCCGCATAGAAGAAATCATAAATGCAGTTATACCAGAGGATGGGCTTTCTTGGATGATTCTTTAGGTTTGTCTTTACCCGATCTTGTAGGTTTATACCAGAGGATCCCCCATCTAAATTCTTCGGATCCAGAGTTCTTGATATATCCGAAGAGCGAGATGGGCTCGAAGTTTTCCCTTTGGTTGATAGTGTTTTACCCTTATTCTCTCTGAGAGCTTGATACATCGCTGCTTTGTGTTGCTCCTCTCCTTGGCTCTCCGAGCTCTCTCTTTATCTAGATTCTTCTTTTCGCGGCACAATGGTGGAAACATGTCTGCTTGCGGTAGGAGAGGGTGGGGAAGAGGTGATGCAACAACTAGGTCTGTCCTCGAGCGGATTCATTTTCCCGATCTCCTGATTCTTTTACAAGTGAAGGAGTCCTAGGCAATCTGATTTTTATAGAAGGCGACTAAGTGTTGGGAAAAAGTATGGGACGCGAACCTTGCTTGAACTTAACTGCAAGAGAAAGAGTAAAACCCAAGTCAGTCCGCATAGAAGAAATCATAAATGCAGTTATAAAGGAATTTCTGGTCTTCCCCTATTTCTAACTACCATTGCGAGCGTTCCAGTCCAAAACCAAGTAGCATGTACATTCACCATTGTTCCTTCCTCCATTGTTCGTCTTTATCTAGGAAATTGTCAAAAACTTTGAACTGTTTCCAAGGTCCGAGATAAAAGGTTTCTTTTGTTTGTTTCCTCTTCATCGTGTACAAATAATAAAGGTCGGAAAGAGATAGAAGGTAGCCGCTTTCTTTGGCTGAAGTTTGACGGCATAAAACAATATAGATAACATTTGGGCACAACTTGGGAAGAGAAACTCCGAGCTCGATAAGCAGATCCAGGAAGGTGAAGTACTTCTTTTGGGATTTCGCATCCTCCTCTTGTTATAATTAGCTTCCACGAGCCAAGGATGGACGGAGTCTATTTCCCAAATTGACCTTCCAGAACGGTTACCTCTTTCTGAGCTCGCTTCAGAGCCATAACAGTTATTAGAAATTCAAGGCGAGGACATAGATCTAGAAATATGTTTTAAGGAACAAAGTAAGAACACTTTGGAGGTTCCCAGGAGTTCCGACGAACAGACGTATGCTTTTTCCCTAAGAAACGAAAGGATACCGATAAGATCTGAAGAGATACGATGATGACAGTGAGAATTCCTGACCCACGCTTGAAAATTTAATGAAGTCTATGAGAATTCCTGACCAAAAACCGTCGAGAGATCTCTAAAAACTAAAACTAAAGCAAACAGCAATCTTAACACCTATTCTAAAGGAGAGTCAACCTAGTTCTCTAAAACGATTTAAGAAAAATAAAAGGAGAAGAAGGGAAGAAGGTTACCTTTTAAAGACGAAGATGATCTGTAGCAATGAAGTAGGTGTGGAACCCAAAGGGTCCTTTGGTTTTTATACGATTAGTTTTGACCGACTGGGCGGCAAAAGAAAACCCTAGGATCCCAAAGCCTCGAAATCTTTCCGAGGAAATCCCAAGATTTGCGGGATTAACCTCCCTTACTTTCACTACGGAGAGTTTATAGTGCATTTAAGTCCCCCAAAGTTATGCACTTCAGATAACTTGGGGGCAAACTGTTGGTGACGGATCTTGGTATATGTCCAGCCCGGAGGGAAAACGGTTTATCGTAAGTGGGCCGCAAGATCCTGAATGGGCCGAGAACTGTTAGCGGACTGTAAGAAATGGGCATTCCCGAATGCGTGTAACGAACGAATCTTCCGAGCCGTAATGAAGAGACATTGATTGCAGAGCATTTAATAGTCTGTTCCACGGATTGCAAGTAACGTCTGTTCGCGATTCGCGGCGGGGAAATGGCTGCATTTATGAAATATAGTATAGGGTTCGCATATAAATAGAGAGGGGTCTGTATTGTACGGTGGTCAAAAAATCTTGTAACAAAACTCTATTACGATTAATACGAAACACTTTCAACTCTCGATTCATTGCTTTACGATTCGAACGTGCTAATCTCACAAGGCCGAGAGCCCCAAATCGTCCACAAATTCTTAAGTGCGGATTCCGACATCCACACTTCTTCATTCTTATCATTCTTCCTTCTTCTTCTCCACCTTTTTGTTTCGTATGTGTCTTCTGTCAAGCTGCCGCAACATCGATCTCTTCGGCATCTACTTTAGCGGCAACGATTTCATGGTTCTCTACATGGTTTTTTGAGAATTGAGAAGATTCTTATTTGCTCTTTTTTTTTTAATCTGATGGTTTGTGTATTTGGCAATATGCAGAGTTCAAGGAGTTGCAGAGTTATAGTGAAGGTCTTTATCATGCTTCACGTTTTGGATTTGTAAGGACAAATAGGAAGACGCAAAGTAAATAACATGACCAATTCACAGACGCAGTTGCTAATAATCACAAGGGATCGTGTTGCTGACTTACAAATTTTGAGGAAACAACGAAAAGTAAAGGTTTCGGAATTATTGTTTACTCTAAAACTAACTTTAAACTCTAATTCGAACACCAATTTACCAAGTTTCAAATGGTTAATCTTTTTACTTTAAAATTTTGTAGAAGAAGTATCCTTTCAAGTAGGAGAACGATTCAAGGGGGGAGTTGTCAATAGGAAAAAAAAAAAAGAACATTCCACCTCGGTGAATTAATCACTCATCTTTTTTACCGGTGGAGATTGTTTTAACGATGAGTTAGTAAATGGTAATTGTCATGTCATAAGCAAGGAGCGCCTTAATTATAGAAGGTCAGAAAGACTAGATGGTCGTTGGTGATTCATGAACCAATTTTAGAAATTTTATTTGTATATTCTACAAGTGTATGAAGCTTAAATCACATTTTAGATAAAGAACGAGAATGACTACACCCGATTGAGCTCAATTATTAAAGGGGAAAAATGTCGGAAAATGCGCGAACTTTCAAATAGGAGAAGAAGTATCCTTTCAAATGCGCGAACTTTCAATTATTAAAATTTTGTAGAAGAAGTATCCTTTCAAGTAGGAGAACGATTCAAGGGGGGAGTTGTCAATAGGAAAAAAAAAAAAGAACATTCCACCTCGGTGAATTAATCACTCATCTTTTTTACCGGTGGAGATTGTTTTAACGATGAGTTAGTAAATGGTAATTGTCATGTCATAAGCAAGGAGCGCCTTAATTATAGAAGGTCAGAAAGACTAGATGGTCGTTGGTGATTCATGAACCAATTTTAGAAATTTTATTTGTATATTCTACAAGTGTATGAAGCTTAAATCACATTTTAGATAAAGAACGAGAATGACTACACCCGATTGAGCTCAATTATTAAAGGGGAAAAATGTCGGAAAATGCGCGAACTTTCAAATTTGGGACAAAAAAAGCATGAACTTTTCAAATGTCATTTAAATCATTAAGTTTAGTTTGACTTTTGATAAAATGGTTAAATTTTCGTTGATCTGGCCATTTCGGACATGTCGTTAAATTTCCGTTAACGAGACGATGACGGGGTTAACTTTCCGTTAGAAATCTCCGTTTAATCGAAACGACGTCGTTTTGAATTGTTCTTATAATTTTATGAAAGTTGTTTTTTTATATACTTCCAATCTAACTATAAATATCACATCAATTCAAAACGACGTCGTTTCGATTCAACGGAGATTTCTAACGGAAATTTAACCCCGTCAGCGTCTCGTTAACGGAAATTTAACGACATGCCCAAAATGGCCAAGTCAACAAAAATTTAACCATTTTATCGAAAGTCAAACTAAACGTTATGATTTGAATGACATTTCGAAAGTTCATGCTTTTTTTGTCCCAAATTTGAAAGTTCGCGCATTTTCCGACATTTTTCCCATTATTAAAGTCATTTATTTTTTTTTTAAAACATCATATTACACTATATGAAGAAACTTGAGTATCAAGAAAATGCAGCTGTTGGTTAACAGAGTTCAATAACACTGTTAGTCGTAAAACAGAGTCATTAACAGAATTGTTAACAGAGTCGTTAAGATATTTTGTATAGAGATTAGCTGTAGTATATAAGCAATTGTACAGTCTAACTTTCAGATTAATGAGAAAGCATTTCATTTGAGTAAACTCTAATATGGTATCAGAACATTAAATTCTCTCTCATTCAAAAGTTTGTTACACGCGTAACTTTCCGGGAAAACACAACTTTTCTGAGAAATTTTTTTTTCTTCTTCTGGATTCTCTTGAAGATTTCACTTCAGCTTGTCGTGTTCAGCTTTCTCATCGCTAATCATCGAATCAATGGCGAAGAAAGGAACCAAGCAGCTCAGAAATCGTTCAGTTAGTCAGGATTCCGATGAAGACACTTCGATCGTTCATCGATCAGCTCCAGCTCACACCTCCGTGACTCGTCTTCCACCAGATTCCGATTCGATCGATAGCCATCACAATCTGTTCTACTTACACTCCGAGACTCTTACTGGTGAGAATTACAATTCATGGATCATTACTATGAAAACTAGTCTAGAAGCAAAGAACAAGATAAGTTTCGTCGATGGATCTCTTCCACGACCTCTTGAACCTGATCCGATTTACAAGATATGGATTTGTTGCAATAGTATGGTGAAAGCTTGGATTCTAAATGTGGTTTCAAAACAGATCTATGATAGTACTCTTTATTTTCATGATGCTGCTGGAATTTGGGATGATTTACACAGGCGATTTCACAAAAGTAAACTTCCTCAGATCTATAATTTGGAACAAGAGATTAACTCATTGCGTCAAGGCAATTTGACTCTCTCTGAGTACTACGCTAAGAAGATTACTCTTTGGGAACGACTAGCATGTACTAAGAATCTGATGGAAAATGGTGGATGTCGTTGCTCTCAGGTCTTGAAACTCTTGGATGATCATGAGACAACACGCATCACTCAGTTTCTCATGGGATTGAATGATGACTTTGCTAATATCAGAGGACGGATCCTTAACATCAAACCTCGACCTAGTCTTTCTGATTTGTACAACATGTTAGAGTCTGATGAATCTCAGAGAACAAGAAACATCAGTGGTTCTACTCCTTCTGCATTCCATGTGAAAGCTCAGGTGAATACTTATCAGCCTAAAGGATCGTTGAAATCTCGTGTTAGTTGTACACATTGTGGTTTGAATGGTCACTCTGTGGATGTTTGCTATAAAATTCAAGGTTATCCTCTTGGATGGAAACCTAAAAGTCAAAGACAAAACACTAGTTAGAAGTTCTATACACCTAATGCTTCCGCAAATCTTGCTTTCACTGAATCCGTGTCAGAGATTGAACAGACTCTTAGTCCAGAACAGCTTCAGCACTTGGTATCTTATCTCAATTCAAAGCTACAGCCTCAGAAAACTGGTAATATTGCTAGTAGCTCTATTACAACACTCACTGAGATACCTTCTACTTCAACTGTTTCAGGCATCAACCCTATGGCATGTCAAGTCACTGGTACTATTTTCCCTTCCATCTTTTATTCATTGTCACCAGAGAATCAATCATATTTCTATTATGTGTCTGACAAGATAGTGAATATGAATACTTGGGTTATAGATACTGGTGTTACACACCATGTCACATATGATAAAAGTTTGTTTGATACTATGACTCCTATTCAAGAAACTACATTGAAGCTTGCTAACGGTGTAGGTGTGAGAATTCAGGGATGGGGAACTATTAAACTCAATGACAAGCTCATACTCAATGATGTCTTGTTTATACCTTAATTTAAATTTCATTTGTTGAGTGTGAGTTCTCTGACTGCTGTGATTAAGTGTGGTTTGTGGTTTGATTCTACTGGTTGTGAAATTCAGGATCTTACAAAGGGATTGATGATTGGCAGAGGTAATCTACATAACAAGCTCTACTTCCTGGATTTACAGTTTCAACCTTCAAAACAATCTACTCCAACATTATGTGTTACAGTCAAGACTCATATCTGGCATTAAAGATTGGGTCATCCCTCTACTCAAAAACTTAAATCTCTTTCAAGTTCATTATCTGTTATGTTTCCTAAGGATAATTCTCCAGAGAAAAATCATTGCAAAGTTTGTCATTTAGCTAAGCAGAAGCACTTACCGTTTGTAGCTCGGAACAATAAGACAATAAAGCTTTTGATTTGATTCATATTGACACATGGGGTCTTTTTGCAGTCACTTCCTATGATGGTTTTAAATATTTTTTTACTATTGTGGATGATCACTCTCGGGCTACATGGGTTTATTTGCTCATAAATAAGTCAGAGGCAATCTCAGTATTACCTGGTTTTGTTGCAATGATTGAGACTCAGTTTGAAACAAAGATCAAGGCAGTGCGTTCAGATAATGCTCATGAATTCAACTTTACAAAGTTCTTTAAAGAAAAGGGAATCATGTCCAGTGGCGGATCCAGAAATTTTTTTTAGAGGGGGCGAACGATATTTATAAAATATATTATATTTTATGTAAAAATAAATATATATAATAAATAAAAAATATTTAATATAGTTTTTTCCATGTTATTTATGATATATTTAATTCATTATACTATATAATAAAAAGTTAAATTAATACTATTTTTAATTAAAAATCATTTAACTTTAAATAAATCAAAGAGCAATACGAAAAAGTTAGAGATTTTGAATTGTCATATTTAGTTTGATTTAAAATTAAAATTTACTAGATTTTCTATTAATGTTTTATAGAAAAAACAAATATTTGGAATCCAACACATAAATATTATAGAGAAACCAATTACCATAACTATAAACCATTAAATCTATTGGGAAGAGACCAAATTTTTAAACATTATGTTTAAAATTGGTATGGTATGGTATATGCATTTAGATTACGTTGTCACCTTTGGATTTAAATTTGTAAGGAATTTACTATTTAGCTAAATTATAGGGGATAAAGAATATGCAATATTCATTTACCTTTTTTTTAGTTAACGTGAAGAGAGATTTTAGGAAAACACAAATTTAACGGGGCAAAAGTGAATTTTTCTTGGGGGCAATAAAATTAATTCCTTATAATTCTCAAAAGATTTCAAATATTTAGGGGTGGCAACTGCCCCCATGTAGACTAAGGTAGATCCGCCCCTGATCATGTCTTACCATTCTTGTCCAGAGACTCCTCAACAAAACTCTGTTGTGGAGAGAAAGCACCAGTATCTTCTTAATGTTACAAGAGCTCTTATGTTTCGGTCTCATTTTCCTATTGAATACTAGAGTGAATGCATTATGACTGCAGTTTTTCTGATAAACAGACTACCTACAGAGCATCTGGCCAACAAGTCACATTTTGAGATTTTAATGCAGAAACCACCAGAGTATGATGGATTAAAGATTTTTGGATGCTTGGCTTATGCTTCTACTTCAACACAACAGAGAAATAAGTTTGCTCCCAGAGCAAGAGCCTGCATTTTTTTGGGATATCCCACAGGTGTTAAAGGATATAAATTGATAGATATTGAGACACATGATGTTCTTATATCTAGACATGTAATTTTCCATGAGGACTTGTTTCCTCTGGCTATTGGAGATATGAAACAGCAAATTCAGGATTTGTTTCCTACTGTGTCAGATATTGATGGTGTTTTAGCAGTGGATCAAGATTCTGCTAGCACTTCAATGACACAGAAAGATTCAGTGCCAGATGGTTTTCTCTGTGATGACTCTGCAGTAGGAGATTTTGCGTGCATTACAGAGACATTTAGAGACATTTGTGCCAAATCCGGAGAATGCAGTAGCTGTAGATGGAGATTTAGCTGCTGTCAATGCTGATATATCTCGAGGTACTACTGATACCTCACATTTAGTTCTTGATATATGAACAGGAATACGGAATGGTTCATGTATCCAGGATTTTGGACAACTTACATGCTCAGTCTCTTCTTCGGTTGGCTCGTTGTTCTCTCTGTCTCGAGTTTTTCCCCTGGTATGGCTTGGACTGTTGTTATTCTTGCTCACTTCGTTGTAAATCTTCTTCTTCCTTTCAAATTCGATTGTGTTTATGCTTTAGAGATGATTGTTTCACTTAGGGTTGTGACTTCCTAACAAGATTCCCAATTCTTACTTGTGATTTTGTCTTTTATCTCATAAAGAATTATGCAATTAAAGGACAATTTAGCTAAAAGGATAAAAAGAGGAAGATACTTTTGATTTGAAGATTTATATGTATTTATTGTAATGATTTTGATTCCAATCTAATTTACAAAAGTAGGTGGGCGTATGGAGGAGACATTAAGGTTTATTTCAGGAATAGAGAAGATTAGACTCAAAGACACACAAGAAGGAGTTGTGTTTGGTAATTTAGACTCTGTTTTCTCGAAGATGCTGCACCAAATGGGACTTGCTTTTCTTCGTTCCACTGCAGTTTTCATCAATTCTTTTGAAAAACTGGATCCTACCATTTTGTTTTTCTTTTGTTCTAAGATTACAAGCCTTTTCTAGTTCTGATTTCATTCATTGTGATTGGAAGATTTTAAAGTTTGTTGTTATACTCTTATACTGTCTTTGGGTATACTTTGGTATATGTTTTGTGTGCCTTATGAAAAATAATGATCCAGTGTCTTAAAGATTAACTCGGATGAAAGCCTTACCTTTAGATTTAGCTTCAGAGCCCTTGACGAAAGTTATAGGAAATTGAGTTAGATTTCCAACAACGGTGAGTTCAGGCCAATCAGAGCAGTAGTTCAAGATTTATGATCGATTTAGTACAAACATATCAATATGACGCGTATAAGAATGTCATCCGGAAATTTCAATATTTCAGACCAGAGGTTATAGCGACTTAGTGCAGCGGGATCAATACACCACTGGAGACTTTTTCATGATAAAATTATGGGTAAGTAGACAAATAGTCATTGGTTATATTTTGTTTGAGAAAGAGGATACCATTTTGTTTGTCTTCTTTGGTTCTAAGGTAATCATGTTTGCTATTTTTTCTGAATTATGCTTCTCCATGCAGTATCACTGATCGAAGATTTTAATAACTGGAATGCGAAAGCTGATGGAATAGCTCGGGTATGCTCTTACACTGTGAAATAGCTTCTGGAATTTTTGAACTTTTCTTCTCTCATCTTAGATTCGCTAGAAATTAAATCTCTTTATCCCATTTCTTTGAGTCCTTCCAATTCTCACACTTCCTAGTTCAGCAAATCCACATCTGATATCGGTAATTTCACATGTTTGACAAATTTTGATCGGGTTGGAATTTTATCCACATTTGATTTCACTCTTTTAGTCTAATTCTTAATTTGCACAACTCTATATATCAGTACAACTGTATAAATCTGTACAATGGTCATATTTTTACGGTTGTATCTGAACATACATCCTTCTTATTTGTGGTCAAATCTTCATTTCACAAATCTCCATTCCACATACATCCTTCTGTACATATGTATCAATCTGTACAGATGTATCAATCTGTACTTTAGTGAAGAAAAATACTCAGGAGAAACTGGTCTCCTAAAGTTTCCTAAAGTTCACTTCACAACAACCTGAGTAACAAATCCACAACAACTGTATAAAGCTGGTCTCCTAAAGTTCACATTTTTCTTCACTAAAGTTTACATTTTTCTTCCATTGTCCTCTTCGTTTCCTTTCGTTTCCTTTTTGTAAAACTCAGGAGATTGGTTGTTTACCCGAAAGGAAACGAAGAGGACAATGGAAGTGGATTTGTTTCAATGTATGTGGAATGTCTCTCATCCACAACACCACCCATTGATGTGTTTGCTTATCTCACTTTCTTTATCTTTAGCGAGGAAGAGAAGAAGTACCTCTCTATTCAAGGTTCGTATGTTCATACCCTTATTATCTCTCTCTTTCTCTCGTATGCATATATATATGAGAATGAAACAGTGATATGTGTATACACATGTTAACATTGTAGATGTTGAAGTAAAGCGTTTCAATTCTTCAAAAACGGTTTGGGGATTGTCACAAGCTCTTTCGGTTGAAGCACTCAAAGACCGTGCAAAGGGATTTATCTTGTACGGAGAACTACATGAGTTTGGTGCTCATGTGAAGATTGTTTCACGACCCGTCTCTTTTGGTGAAGATCTCCCTTTTCACAAATTCTCATGGACTATTCGTGATTTCTCCCTTCTCAGACAGAATGATTGTGTTTCGAAAACCTTTCACATGGGAGAAAAAGATTGGTGAGTCTTTAAAAAGTTTTCTTTTCTGATATATGGTTGTATGTGTGTGCATGAGTGTTAACTAGCTAACAAGTGGATGTTAATGTCTTACTACAGGACTCTCACTTTGTATCCAAAGGGAGACTCTAGAACAGATGGCGAGTTATCCCAGCATTTGCATTTAACTGACAATGATACTTTATTGAAGGGTGAGCTGATTTTGTTGCGAGTTAACTTGCAGGTTCTAGACCCGCGTGGATCCAATCACCTAACAGGAAGCCGTAAGTCAAAAACTATTGATGTTACTATTTGGCAATGTTTATTGTTAGGACATTTTCAATAGGTGTTCTTAACTTATGATGTCAAATGTCCTTCTCCTTATAACTAATGTATTTTACATACATTTATTGTTTTTGTAGTCAACAGTTGGCTCATGAACTCGAACAAAGCAAGGGGTAAGACCCAGTCCATGTCTTTAGATAAAATTCAGGGGGCTTACTTGGACCGTGAAGGTACTTTGGAGGTGGAGATCGAATGTGAAGTTCTTAATTCCATCGAAAACCATCCCTTCTTTTAGGATATATGTTTATCTACCATGCCATGTCTACTACTCTAGAGTCTAGGACTACTCTGTTTTATGCCTAAAATTGAATGTGAAGTTAACGCTCTATCTATCTTTAGGATATCTATGTATCTACCATGCCCTCTAGGACTTATCTACTCTGTTTTATTATGCTTAGAGATTGAAATGTGGAGTTATCTATTTTTAGGATATATATTTATTTATCTACCATGTATGTCTGACTATTGTATGTCTCAATGTCTGTATGACTTTTCATGCGTTTATTAATGATCTTGGATATTTGATGTTTGTTTTGGTATATCCTTGCTTTTGGTTTTTGTTTTTTTTTGACAAGTTACTAAAGATCTTGAAATTTTTTTTATGATTCAACTTTTGCATTCTCATCTATTAAGGTTACATCAAATGATATAGGGCATATTAGAGTGGATTAGAGATCACTTAGAAACCCGTGAATTACCAATTTGAATAATTTTTTCGCTCTTCAGCCTAAACAAACCTAAGCAAAGATCCTAAGATCAATCTAGAATGTCTCAGTTCTTAACACTAGCTCCTTATTAAACCTCCAGCTCTCAACTAACCAATAAATGTCTGTTCCTGAGCTTTAAAAGCTAAACTTCACTGCAAAGCTAGTTACAATAGTCTTGTACTAGACTTAACAAGAACTAGTTACAGTAGTCTTGTAATAGTCTCAGCTAGTTACATTTTCATTTTCCAAAACTACGTACCTAATCACTACAAGCACAGCTCAGATTGATTCATTACTATAGTCTATGCATTTCGGTTCGATGTATAATGTATTGACCGGTCACACTTTTGAAGATGAACATAGTTGGCAAATTTAGTTAAAATTGGCTTTTGTTAGATTTACTATGAGACAAGTGTTGTTCAGCTCCTTCATTGGCAAGCTTTGTTTATCATTAGTTGTGTTTATACTATACTTGTAGAGTCTCCATTGTACCTGATCATCATAAGGCGTCTTACCTCTTCTGCTAAAGCTTCATGTCTGAGACTGACCCTTCGGTTCTTTTTTATAACAACACCATAAGAAATTTGCTCTAGCTAATTTGGCGTGCTTGTGCATTTTCTACAACTCATTCTCTCATACTCTTCTAGTGTAAAAGGGCGAGTCACCATGCTTTCTCTTTCTGGACTTTTCAAGCAATGCCAAAACTCAAGGATCGCGATATTAGCACGGGTACTTCTATTGGTAGTCGTCTTCCGTACCACGTACGTTTCGGAAATGGGGACAGCATGAGTACTGCTCCGAAACATCCTCAAGACGTTTCGAGCAAGGCGGGCACATCATGACATCAGGTGGGGAAGATATAGAGACGTTTCCGAGACATTCTAGCTTCAAAATTGGTGTATCCTAGTGTTCTAAAATACGTCTATATATATGATCTTTTTCTATACTAAAGTTCACATCTTTCTTCGGTAAAGTTCACATCTTTCTTCACTAGCTACAAGCATATATAAAACAAAGCATATGATTCCACTATGAAGAAAAAATTCCAAATTAACCGGCTCAATTAAGCAAGAGCAAATGTACAATTCCACAATAAGTCATACGATTTCAACTCGACAAAGAGCTTCAAGTTCGCATAGTATAAAAATATCATGTTCAAAGATTTTGCAAACTTTTTCTAAGAATAAATATCAACTAGACTTTATAAGAAAAATGAAATTTATATACAAACAGCTAAATTCAAATGATATTTATGTAAAAATGGTTGCTAAAAATCGATTTGATCGTATTATTGAGAATTGCACCAAAATATACGAAAACAGTTTTATAAAGGAACTACAAATTAAATGATAATCTCTCTAAACACAATTTCCAATGTGTTTAAATCAACTATCATGCTTACATTTCAGGTTCAATACAAATCATCTATCATTCACATAGTTTTCTATCAATAGACGAACCAAAGAATGATGCTAAGCTTCAATTTCAGGTTCAATTAATAACCAAACCAGAATGATATTAGACTATTGTAATCCAATCTTAATTCAGAAAAAATTTGCAAAATGTAAAGCAGCAGATTCAATAGGTCCATCAAACCAACAATTTTAAAACAAACCAGGCCAGCTTTAGGCCCATTCTAACACATTAACTTTTTGTTGTTGTTAGTTCAAGTGTTCTAACACCTCTATATAAATACTATCTATCTAAACCCTAGATCTAAGTGACGAAGATACACTCTCAAGACTCTCTCTTTCTCAGGTTCGTCGATTCTTTTTCTAGATTTCAACGTCTTTAGTCTTTTAAGAGAAAAAAGCACAAAGCTTTCTATAACTTTCTCTGTCATTTTCTCTTGTGTATCACATTTAGATCATGTAACTCGATTTTCGTCGGATCTTTTCTGATTATGGATATGTTTTGTTTTGCTCTCTAGGGTTACAACATTGTGTAGAGAAAATGGGTTCATGTGCATCAGATCCTGCGATTCTGAAGAGTTGGAGAGATCGTCTTCCTCCTACTTCTTCTAACGACAAATACGAATCCCCTCCTTTCTCTTCCGGTGGACACAACTGGTATGTCATCTTCTTCTATACTTAAAAGTTCACATCTTTCTTCGCTAAAGTTCACATCTTTCTTCGCTAAAGTTCACATCTTTCGTCGCTAAGGTTCACATCTTTCTTCGCTAAAGTTTACATCTTTCTTCGCTAAAGTTCACATTTTTCTTCTCTAAAGTTTACATCTTTCTTGCTAAAGTTCACATTTTTCTTCACTGCATACATATTTAAGTAAGAAATGTTGTCCTCTTTGTAAAAATCAGGAGATTGGTTGTTTACCCTAAAGGAAACGAAGAGGACAATGGAATGGGTTTTGTTTCAATGTATGTGGAATGTCTCTCATCGACAACACCACCCATTGATGTGTTTGCTCATCTCACTTTCTTTGTCTTTAGCGAGGAAGAAAAGAAGTACCTCTCTATTCAAGGTTCGTATGCTCATACCCTTATAATCTCTCTCTTTCTCTCGTATGCATATATATGAATGATTCAGTAATATTTGTGTATACATGTAGATGTTGAAGTTAAGAGGTTCAATTCTTCAAAAACAGTTTGGGGATTGTCAAAAGCTCTTCCGCTTGAAACACTCAAAGACCGTGCAAAGGGATTTATCTTGTACGGAGAAGAACATGAGTTTGGTGCTCATGTGAAGATTGCTTCACCACCCGTCCCTGTTGATTTGAATCTCCCTTTTCACAAATTCTCTTGGAGCATTCGTGATTTCTCTAATCTGAAACAGAATGATTGCGTTTCCAAAACCTTTCACATGGGAGAAAAGAAATGGTGAGTGTTTTTTGTTCTGATAGATATTGTTGTATGTGTGCATTAGTGGTAAGTTGCTAACAAGTGGATGATAATGTTTTACAGGACTCTAACCTTGTATCCAAAGGGAGACTCTGAGACAGATGGCCAGTTACACCAGAATTTGCTTTTAGCTGACGGTGAAACTTTAATGAGGGGTGAGATGATTTTCGTGCGAGTACAACTGCAGGTTCTTGACCCGCATGGATCCAATCACCTAACAGAATCCCGTAAGTTTTACTGTTTGGCAATGTTCATTGTTAGGACATTTTCAATAGGCGTTCTCAACTTATGATGATGTGAAATGTGAAATGTGAAATGTCCCTATTCCATTGAACTAATGTGCTTTACATACATTACTTGGTTTTGTAGTTAACTGTTGGGTCATGGCCTCGACCAGAGCGTATGGTCTTCCTCAATCCATGCCTTGTGCTAAAATTCAGGAGGCTTACTTGGACCGTGAAGATACGTTGAAGGTAGAGATCGAATGTGAAGTTGTTAAGGCCATCAAAAACAATCCCTTCTTTTAGGATATCTGTTTATCTACCAGGCCATGTCTACTACTCTAGGAGTACTCTGTATTAAGCGTAGAATTGAAATGTGAAGTTGTTTCCACCAAACGCTCTGTCTATTTTTAGGATATCTATGTATCTATCTACCATGCATGTCTATGTCTGACTTATGACTACTCTGTTTTATGCGTTTATTAATGATCTATCTACTTAAACATTCTCATCTTCTATAGAGGTGACATCAAATGGTTGTTCAGACGTTTCAAATATATCATCTACTTCTGCTCAGCTAACTTTGCTTTGTTGTGATGCGAACAACAAGTGAAAGACCACACCAGAAGTAAGATGAAAGCTCTCTGTATAAAAATCAAACCAACCGGCTGAGTTATTTCATTGGTCAGAAGAATGTAAAAGAAAAACATAAAAGATCGGTGAGGTTGTTCAGTAAATCAATCCTTGAACTTTCAAGTCGATCAAGTACCATCCCAAATTAAGTTCACAACTCAACCCAAAACCTAAAAACAAAGGCAACTTTTTTCGGCTTACCTCTTCAGCTAAAGGCTAAAGCTTCATGTTTGAGACTGACAAACTGGTTCTTTTAAGAACTTTGCTTTGGTTCATAGGCTTCTTCATGATTTTCTACAATTACTTCTCTCATATTCTTCCAACGTAAAAAGGATAGTATCTACATACAAGTTTTGAACTTGGTAAAATGGTATCTAAGTATCTACTATTCAATGATCATAACAATCATGGTGCTAAATTTGGGCTGAAGAAAACACAGACAAATCTGTTCACAATCAAAATCATTAATCGTTCTATACTAACTCCTATAAAGTTTTTGACTTCATACATGAATCCCTTTCCTACACCATTGAAAAAGCTTCTATTCAGTCTTCAGATCCCTGCTCGGAAAACATCTGGTCCCTCGGCATAGCCTGCAATTCAAGTAGGTGGAATTGAGAACACACACATAGGAAAACAAATATATACGCAGGCGAAGGAGCTTACGTTTTCAAAGAATAGAATCTCAGGTCGAATATGCAGTTCTTGAAAAATGCTGAGAACACCATCCCAGTCTCCAATAACCTGGACAACCAAAATACATCACTCAGTCACTGATCAATAACTTGCTTATCTTTTACAAAAATGTCTAAAAGCTTTACCTCCATCTCAGAACAAAAATGTCTGACCCATCTATCATTTTCATAAGCTACACAGTCGTATAGATCTCCATGCGACCAAACCTGAATATTTAACATTGGTAAACATAGGAAACTTGAATGAAACTGAAACAAATTATATACTTGGCCTCTTACCATTGAGACAAGACGGTATTTGGTAAACGCACTGTCACCTTCGTATCGGAATATGGCACTAATATCTATTTCAGTCGCCAGAACAGAAGCTGTATCGAAAATCTCTTTTTCGGTCTCATTGTTCTCCCACTGAAGTACTATAAACAATACGAGAAACATGCTCAAAACTACTGCATTTTGTTGTTAATTCCTACTAACCAATCAACAATCCAAAGCTTATCATAGGCTTACCAACTATAAAACCAGATGGAAGGTTACTTATCATAGTATCGACATAGTTTCGTTTCTCACATCCTTCCTTATCACAAAGCATCTTTACATTGATCCTGATGGCCTTAAGGATATTCTCAAATGTAAAATCCTTGAATGCAGACTGTGATTACCCAAAAAACGTTCCTAACATCAATCTCATGAAAGACTTAAGGACTCTCTTTCACTTTAAAAGATAAGAGACACAAGAAATGACTTGCCTTGAATACTCTGAGTGAATTAGCATTGATGATGATACCATAAGACCTTTCACCTGAATATGCCATTTCCGTCTTGCATCTAATGCAAATCCTTTTCGCAACTTCGTTCACTTCAAAGTGCGAATTCCAGCGAGGGATAAGCTCCAAGATGTTTAGAAACAGTTTAGAAACACCGTTTTCTTCCTAAAGAACATATGAAGCGTGAGAAAGAAGTAATTGACAAAACACATAAGAAAAAGGTTTAAAGATCGATCAGAGCAGAGACCAGAGGATGAGTGAGACTGAGATTGTTGAGTAGGAAAATACGAAGAATGTCTTGTAGAGGAACAGATTCATCATTTGTGAGGCTCTGATTTGCTTCTTGAACATAATCCATCAACAAAGTGCTTAAGAAAACTCTAATGTTCCACAGAGACTGCACAAATTCACATTCTTGAAAACATTAATCAAAGAAACAAGATCGATTAAAACAGAGTCTTTTGGTTTGTGAAGTTTGTGAAACCTTTAGTATCATATCAAAAGCTGAAACAGAAGTTTCGTTGAGTATCTCCTCTTCAGATTCCTCTGTACCTGAGTCTGAGAGATCTCTGAATGATAGATAAACACAAATTCTCAGAGAAAATCTAAGGACGAAGCATAAATATACTTGGATGATGAGATTTTACTACTTACGGATCAATTTCTTCGAGTTTCTCCACTTCTTGAACCTCTGATGAATCCATCTCCATGATTTCGTTGACTGATTTTCTCCGAGAAAGCAACAATGGCGATTTTCTTTCTTGATTTTCTCGAGAAAATATAAAAGGAACAGAGAGAGAAAATGAGGAAGCGTGGAAGAGAAGAATCTATAGGGTCAAGAGTTAGTTGGTTTGTTCACGTGAGGGTCACGTGATCTGTTAAGAATTGAGCGCGAAAAATTCTTCCACAAAGAAACCCAAAATCGTGAATGATGGTATTGTGAACCTTCTTGCTTTCTCATACAAAAAATATACATAAATGTCTTTTTGTTTAAGAAAAATAAAAACAAATTAAAATTTTTTGGAGAAAATTAAAAAGAAAATAAATAACAAGGCAACCCTTTATTTAACTTAAGAATGATATTTATATATTCAAATGAAAACATGAATGTTCTGATGAATGGATAAACTGATAGAAATAACTTAATAATTGATTTTAATGGGTGATTACAAATTGGAAGATTTTCCAAAAAAAGATAAATTTAGGCATAGTTTGAAAAAAATTTCACCGTTATCTTTTTATTTTTCAAACATACAATTTGTGAGTTGTAGTGAAGAGAAGAACTACTATTTATAACAAATGATTGTAAACTATTGAGATTTTGTGGAGTATTAGTTATTTTTTGTAACTTTCTACGTTACAGTCAACTACATTTATTGGGAAAAATGTCATTAAAATCCCCAACTTATTCAAAACGTTGATTTAAATCCTCAACTCACGACGAAACGAAATAAATATCAAACTTATGTTGACTTTCCAAATAAATATTAAACTTATGTTGACTTTCCAAATAAACACCAAACTTTCATTGACTTGGCCATATTAGGCATGACGTTAAGTGAGTTAACAGACAATGTTAACGGGATTAATTTTCTGTTAACAGACCCGCTAATTAAAAATGACAGTATTGTTGAACTATAATCAAATCTCATCTAGGTCATATAACCTAAAGTCGTATTCATATAAGTTAGTTATTTACGTAAGAGTCACGAATGTACGTACGTATAGTTGTGTCTGTTCGTAAAGTTGTGTCTTTTCGATTAACACATGTACGTATACGTTGTTTCGTGTTGTATAAGTAGATCGAGTCAAACTCAATAACATCATTGTTGATTTAATTCAATTTGGGGATCTAAGATTGACTTTAGGGATTTAATTCAATCGTTACGACAAAACGACGTCGTTTTGTTGTTATATGAAACAATGTCGTTATCAATTAACATATATGTTAACAGAAAATTACCTCCGTTAACGAGATCTATTAACTCACTTAACGTCGTACCTAATATGGCCAGGTCAACGGAAGTTTGATATTTATTTGGAAAGTCAACATAAGTTTGATATTTATTTCGTTTTGTCATGAGTTGAGGATTTAATAACCCACTTAACGTCGTACCTAATATGGTTAGGTCAACGGAAGTTTGATATTTATTTGGAAAGTCAATGAAAGTTTGGTGTTTATTTGGAAAGTCAACATACGTTTAATATTTATTTGGAAAGTCAACATAAGTTTGATATTTATTTCGTTTCGTCATGAGTTGAGGATTTAAATCAACGTTTTGAATAAGTTGGGGATTTTAACGACATTTTTCCCAAATTATATGGTGTCATTAAACTACATAATTATAGCAGATATCAAATTGATAGTGAAATGATTTATTTGGTTTTTTCATTGTGACACTTTTACAAATTAAAGACAAATAATATGGAAGGTAAATTATCTTTGGGGTTCGTGTTAGAGAGGTAAAGTGTAGTTCTTTTGTTATCTATCTCATTATTACATTTTTCTCTTTTCTTTTACTCATATTAGCTCTATTACTTTCAATTGTAAACAGCAAAGTAATATGTAGAATTAATGTGTATAATGTATATCAATAAAATTTACTTTAGTTTCTTTCATGTTATAGTCTATAGTATTATTTCGTTTTCATTTTTTTGAATTTAATTAACTATAATTAGTTAAAAATATATATTATATTTTCGAATATCCATTATTAACTAATACGTAACTATGAAAATTTTCTGATTTTGTGATATTATTACTGTAATATGTAATCTTACAGTAATAATCCTCACCCCTTAATTTCTTTTGAATTAGTAGGATTAAATGTCTTTTCATTGTGGTTAATTGGAAATAAATGTTATTAGTTTTACCAAAAAAATGAAACATCAAATGATTGTTGTTATTAGAACTCCAAATTAAAAAGATAAACCAATGAAAATAAAATTTTCAAATTATATGTTTAATTATTTAGCATAAAATATTATGAATTTCTTTTTAACTTCAAAGGATGAAAAAGAAAACATAGAAAAATGTAGAAAAAAGTTAAAAAGTGCGTCTTTGAGATATTATATTATTATGATAATAGAAAGAAAATTAACAAAAATAGTTAATAATTTATTTGGGATTAAGAGGAAAGACACATGTCAATAGGAAAGATCCCACATGTCAGCTTCTCAAAACTTGTGTTTAGGAGATACCTTTCTTATATTTCAAATTAATTTTTTAATTATTTAGTATAATATAGTTTGATTTTTCTTTTTATATAATATAGTTTGATTTTACTTTTTATTTTCAAATGATGAAAAAAATAAAAATAAAAATGTAGAAAAAAGTAGGAAAATTGTGTCTCTGAGATATTATTTTAGTATGATAATAGAATTAAGTTTAACAAAAATAGATAATAATGTATCCCTTCTATATTATATGAAAAACACTCTTAATAAAAACAATTTACCCGTACGTGTGATTTACAAGGGTGTCATGTTGACGTGTCGCTCTGAGAGAGATTCTCAAAATTTTTATTAATTATCTAATCTTTACTATGTTAATTACAAATAGTGACATGTGTGTTACTTATATACTAGATTCTGACCCGCACGTACGTGCGGGATTTCATATTTTAAAAAATGTTTTCTAATAAAATTTAATTCAATATAGATAAGACAATGAGATAAAGTAGTGTCGTCCCGTCCCGTCTCGTTGCCTATCTTAAAAAATTTCGTCACATAATTGTTTTCTTTAAAATAATTACCAATATGAAAATGTTTAATTTAGTTCAACATAGAAGAGAATGGGTAAGAGATTTAGACGGAATACCCGTATTTTCCTTACTTTTCCTTTCGGATTTAATTTTTACAAAATAAATAGAATCTATCCAATTTTTTTTGTTAAACATTCTCTAATTTTTTAAAACGCTGGTATGAGTTATATTTGAACACTTATTTATTTGGTATAATATTCATAATTTGACAAACTCACGAAAGAAATTTCCTAAATTAATTCAATTAATTCAAACTAATTAAATCAGTTTGAATTAATTATCTTGCCGATTAATTTTGAACTTCCAAGATTTTCTCAAACTATTAATAACTTATTTTTTTCCCTAAATCCTGATTTTTAGGCAATAGATTATATTTTCGGATTTTAAATATTTTAAGGTCATATATATAGTTTTTGTTATTTATTTGTAGTAAGATTTGAAAAAATCAAGATTTGGAAAGATTGAAAACTTTTAGTGATATTTATTATGTAATTTTATGGTATGATTTGCATAGTTTATTTTATAAGAATTCTAATAATATAGGATTTTATATATAAATTATTATTGGATTCATATAAAAACAATTTTTGATTTTTTAAACCATATTATGATAATAATTATTTTCTATAAATGGTTGTTTCTTTAATGATAATAAATTAATGATTGGATATGAGTTTATTAATATATCCGAAATTTATGGTTGCAATATTTGGAAAATCTTGGAATTAATATAATTGTTATTAATATCACTAATATGGTTGCTATTTTTTTTTTCTCCTTCTTTAAATTTAAAAATCCCAATGGCATCATATGTAATATTTTACTTTTTATAAGGTTATTTAATTTTGAGTGATTCTCAATTAATAGTATAGATATTTCACTCAATTAATTATATTAAATATGAAATTAATGTAACATTAAACATTAACAATAAAGAACAATATCTCTAACAATATACTCATAATTAAAAAACTATATCTATATATGATTTCTAAGATAAATATATATACACAAAATTACATATAAATTTGGATTATATATCCCAAAAATATATTTGAAAAGAATTATATAGCTTTTTATGAATAAATATATAAATACTACATTTATACTTGTATATTCTTTATCTCTTATATAGAGAAATTGAAATTTGATATTCATTATATCAATATTTTATATGTTTTCATATCTAAAATATGTTTAATATATATTAGGCCTTTTAAACATGACCATATTTATAAAATGTATATATTGATCATATGATATTAATAAGATAACAAATGATAGTATATTTAATTTGGAGATTATGGTTCAAAGAATAAATTTTTTCCACCCTCACAATATTTCAAACTTAAATCTTAACACAAGAGATATATAAGGGATATTGTTGTTTGCATCATATGATAGATCTTCTTAATCGAAAAAATCAATAATTTCATTTCAACATTCTTAATAAAGATTTATAGTTTTTATTATTCTTCACGTGAATGTTTATTTTAATAGTTTTCAACTAATAATGGGATTTTAATTTCCGGTTTTAAAACATTCACATGATGTGTGTTACTATATCCTATAAGATGTATAGGCTTTCTTGTGTTGCAAGTAATAGCTCATTATGCAATTTCTCATTACAATTCATGTGTATATATGCAGCTTTCCTGATTTTCTTACTTTACCCCTTCCTCTATTATATTTTAAGAGACGATGTAGAACGCTCAACATCTATCAGGAAGCTTTTGGTGGTTGTTGTGCTCTGTGACACTGTGACCTCTTCATTACCGTCGAAGTGGTTGGAGGGATCGAGGCCAACAGTCTTTCCATTCTCACTGATGCAAGTCATCTCTTGTATGATATTGTATCCTTTCTGATATCTTTGTTCTCTCAGGGCTTCAGGATGGGAAGAAACCCCACACCAGTCTTATGGCTTCATTAGAATCGAGATCCCTGATGCCATTGTATCCATCTAGATGATCTGGCTCCTTGCTGGCGTCCTCGTCTACGAACCCAAGTGGTGATTCCAGGGCCGGTCCTAGGATAGTAGAGG